CGGAACGATAATTATCCTGGCCTTACGCGTTAAACATTTGTTCAGGCGGATAATTAATACGGCTCGTAGTCCGCTTGGATCGGTTAGAAAAAATAATTTTACGTGTACGTGTTGGTTGGATCAAATCAGGCTTATAAAACTTCGAATTTTTATGATATTAACATTGAAAGTAATTAGGAAAGAAAATAACACAATTTTTTATTGTTACGTATCATAAAATTTAGCTTATAATTGAAAAATACGAGTTACAAAGTAAATATCAATTCAAATTTTCGCGCGTCATTTGTGCCCACCCACAAGCGGCGGTCCGCCAGAGGCCTATATATAGGGGGGCCCCTTGCGTAAGCTGTCAGTCTCCCCAGGGATGCCTGCGGGGTAAGATCGGACACCGGGGCATCGTATCACCTGGGAAAGCCTGATTTGATCGCGAATGTATATGTATTGCGTGTGTATAAGTATATAAATATATTTATATCCTGTTTATTTTTATATTTATGCAAGTACACGCATATGTGTTTTTTTTTTCTTTTTTTTTTTTTAAACTAACACCTTCTTTATCTTTTTTTTTTCAGGTAACACCTTGGCTGTGAGATCGAGTTTACTTGCTTTTTCGGGAGATCGATTATCCCGTTCTACTCGATGTTACACTTCGTCAAACGGACTCGTTTATTGGCACGTACGCTGTTTCTTTGGACCGCTGTTACAATCGAAAATTTAGTTGAAAACTTACAGACACGGCTGCGCGTCGATTCTCGTCGTCGATCGCATTCGTGTTTAAACAATAAGGTCGTGTTCAATCCGCTTGAACACAATCGCGGCCACCCGTTTTCATTTACCATTCACAGCATTTCTTTTAACAACACGAATGAAATCGAGCCGCGCGATCCTTCGTATAGGTACAACGTGAAACGAATCTCTAGGAGAATGAAAGAAAATATCTACGCCTATAAGCTGACATCACCCGTAAATCCTCTAAAGCTACGTATAATCATCTTCAGACTTAACTTTCCTTGGCACTCTCTCTTTCCGCTGCGGTTTATACGTCCTTAATACAGCATTTTCACATCGCTTATCTTCGTTATCTCGCGCCGAAATCGTAATAAGTATAATAACGGACAGATCGGACCGGACACCTTCTCGTCACTTACACACCTTACAATTAATAACATACATATATAGGGTCGCTGCGCTTCGAATGGAATCGTTCGAACCCTCGTAAATATCGTAAACTGCATAAACGTGCACATTAAGAAATCGGTAAAACGTTTAAAGTGTTCGATCGGACTGAAAAGCAAAGTACACGATTTCTTCTTTGGAAGAGAAAACCCGCGGTTCAGTATCGTCGAACACATCGTTTGTTTCTTTCATTTCATTTCATTTCACTTCATTTTTTTTTTTCTCTTAAATACTTTTGTTATAGAAAATACGACGCACGAGACGATCGGTAAAATTTCACCTATCGATTAGATTTATTAGGTAATTAGAATTATATTGAAAAGTTGTGTGGTTCGTAAAGTGATGTGGTTCGACGAGGTGCAAAGATTAGAAAAAGGTGCGCTAACGAGTTATTATTGGCATACCGATATTAATGTAAGGACGATCAAGTACAGCGTCGGACAACGCTTTTGCTTTTTGTGCGTAACTGGAATCGATTCGAGCCCGTTCGTACAACAAAACTGAACGAGACGACACACGTATATGTTTCTATAATTAATAAAAATAACCATAATAAAGTATTCGTTTCTAAACGGATATCCGACGGTTATGGACGCGTACAAAAATACATATTCACGATTCGTTCAGCTTGTGTCGCGTCAACGGCTGCTGATTGATAACAAATTGTTCCGTAATCGATAAGTAATCCGGACAAATTGAAACGGTGTTAAATGATCCCGTGGGCCCTTTGTTTGAACGCGAATAGAAAGTTAATTGCATCGGTGGTAAATATCAGACACGTAACGCGGCAAAGACACCTTTATCTTAATTTATCATAGAATTAACGGGAATGAAAAACGGTGCCTTTGGGAGAAACGATGCGCGTCTCGTGGGCAGTTGGATAGATCGGAAAAATAGTCAACGCGATCGACGGACGTTAAAACGTTTTCCTTAATCGAACGAGCGATTTCCTTGATATACCGTACGATCGACGAATACAACGTCATCGGGGAATCGTTTAAAAAAATAATACCGCGTTCGTTTTAGTAACCACGATTAACGGGTGTAAACTTGGCAGAATGAACGTTCGCGGCTAACACGAATCGGTTTTAAGGTGTATACAAGAATAAGCGCTATGTGTACCGACAATAATAACAGTAGTAGTAATAGTAATAAGAATAACGATGAAAATAATGATAATAGTAATAATGATAAAGTGTCTTCAGTGTTCAGTCCAACGATTTCGATCGGTCTAATCTATGATTACTTTCAAGATCAGAATTTGTACTTGTACTAGTATTAACGAGACGCGAACGACCAGCCTCGTTATCGAGGTTCTCCGTCGAGGAGGACGAGCCGTTCGCGTCGAAACGCGCTAATATCACATTATTGGATGGATTCGATTGAAAAGAATTCGCACTAACGTTAACCGTATTCAAGCCCTGCGACGAGCTCGCGTTACGACGATTCGCACCCGTTGCTGTTGGCTCGGTATTGATCAGCCCGTCGCAGGAATGGGGCATGATTTTCGACAAAGCGTTCTCCGCGGGATATTCCTTGCGCTTCGCTTGACCAGCGTATCTACCGATCGCTCTCAATGAACCACCGTACACGCGATCGCTCTTCGCGTATTCCGATTCAAAGTCTTCCGGCGAGTCGACGGTAGACTTGGAATCGTTCGTACGGTTCGAATCCTCGGTGGTATTGAACGCCGACGAAAAACTGGCCTCCGTCTCTGACCTACTTTCACGCGTTTGTCCTCGATTTTCTTCGACCTTTTCGCTGGCACCTCTTTCCACCTTATTGCTACCGTGTATCTTGGAGATCGATCGGTCGCTCCTCTTCCAAACACTCTCGTCCTTACTGCTACCCGGTGTACAATCGATGTTCACCATCGTGCTGTATCTCTTCGCGTTCGAAAGCTCGTAGCCCGGATTCTCGGTGTCCGGAGCGTCGGACGGCTTCTCCGTCGGATACGGAACGTAATTCGTGGAAGTTGCTTGATAAATTCGATTAAAGCTATCCTCGGGAACGAAGGCCGGCGGTCGTTCCTGGTAGGTGAAAGGTACGCACACGTTCTGACCGATCGGCCCGTCCATACCGAGGCAGTATTGCGGGAAATGCGGCAGAGGAACGCATTCCGGATTATCGAGCTGTCGAGAGGCCACGTTACCGTGACGATACTGAGCCTCTTGTTCTGCTGCGTTATTCAATCTTGCCGAAGAGTTGCAAGCATAAGAGAAACATTGTGGCACGCTTGAATTCGCCGCGACCCCCGCAGACGACTGCATGTTCGGCTGCATCGCAGCCTGCGTGTTCGTCGAATCCGGCGATGATGCTGGATTTGATATCTTACCACGCGTTTGTGCTATCACAGTCTCGTAGCTTGGAGGCGGACCGTACAATTGATAATATGGACAGTTCGCATCGTTCAACACGACGTTCACGTTCTGATAATTCGTCGACGTTGTTGCGTTACCATTGTACACGGGCACCGTTCCGTTCCTTTGAGGACCTACGGTGATACTTGGGATTAGATACGGGCTGTTGCCCATTTTTCTACCCGATTACGATTATGATAATTAGTTTCAATTAGACGAGACCCATCACTCGCCTTTCCACATTCGATGCAGTAACACGGTATTCCGTGCTGAATTATAAGTGATACGAGCTCTTTGCCCCTGGCAAGTCGGCCCTCGAAGAGGATTTTGCCCACGGGGATTGGAAGTTCTGGCCGGAATGGCTGATGTAGCCGCTCGGTATCTACCTTGTAACCAATATCGATACCACCATCCTCCGCCGGAGCATACCAGGAACATTATTATAACTAATATCCTGTAACAAAGGACGATAGAAATTTTCCTTTCATAAAATCAAAGGATCATTCGAATATTCCACGTACCAATAATACCATAAATGGTGGAAGTGCAAGCCAGGTGATACACAGCATCCAATACCGCAACAATATTCAGTTCTGGAACACCTAAAAGCAGGCAACCGTAGATACGCGTGTGTATTTAGATGCGTATGCATATACGTGGTTGCATACTTTAGGGGCGATATTTATTGTGTGTGAAACTCACTCATAATATTTTATTTCTCCAGGCGTTTCAGAGGCACAATATTTTGCTTCTGCCTAAAAGAAGTTATTTTTTTAAATCGTTATGAATTATTATTTCGTTATAATTCTGACGCGATTGCTGTTAAATAACAATCGAATTCAAATCGGGTATCAGGAAAAGCGCGTTAAACACGTGCACGAAGAAAAAAGACAAAAGAAGATGAGATTCGAACGATCGAAGCTCGTATCTGTTCGTAATTGATCGAGAGTAAAATTCGATCTTAAAATAAAAAAAAAAAAAAAAGAAACTGATGTTTTAGAGCAAACGATATCAGAAACGAACACGAAAGAGAACGCTCACGTATATTAAACACTTGGATGTTCCAGCGAATATCGCCAACTTCTTCTTCGCGTTCCGAGCCATCTTCTCCGACAAACATTCACACTGTCGTTCCTAACAAACAAAAACGATATGCTCTATCAGGATGTTTTGACATAATCACCATTTTGTTCCGACTGTCATGTGCACACAACATTGCACACCACTTATTGATTTCAATTTCGGAACTTTACAATGACGTCATTGGGAACAGAGTTACCAACGTGAACGAGGTGAATTTTAAACTGATAACGCTATATTGTGTGCCTGTGCTACCAGACTATACCACATCAACCTGTTAACAATGATGCGTAATATAGTACGCATTGATTGAACGTTTTTCACGTATTACTTGCGTGATAACGTTGAGGATTTTATTGGAAATAACTTGTCGAGAAACATAGGTCCATAGAAACAATATTTATTACAAGCAAATCTTTGTTTTCTACATTTGTACAACATAATTCTCTGTTTTTGTCGATTTTTGGTTTGTTACGGATACTGTTAGATTTTCCTGTGGTATAGACATTAAATTGTAATTAATTTTGAAGTATCTTTTCAAGAAAACACCATAGATTCGTCGTGAGTTGCAGTAGAGGTAAGCACAGCACAGTGACATAATGGCTATTGCTCCAAAAACGATTGCCCTGTTAATATAAGTCTTTTGTCAGTATTTATTATTATTATTTGCATACGATATTATATTAAAAAATTATTCAACATACCCTATAAGTAAAGCATTAATATTTGTCTCTTCGCAGCAAACATTATCACCACAACAATACCCCTGTAGGCCACACAGACCCCAAACGCAATAATGCGACGAACTCTGAAACAAAATTAGATATAGTTTAATTGTACCTTATACCACCTTGGTATATGAAAATATTGAATTACCATTGAAGAAAGAAAGATTGGAAAGTAAAGGAAACAAATTTTTTACATGACAACTGATGACAACCGATCTGTCATCATCTAATCATAAACTACGAAAGGTTTAGATAGCTGTAGCATAAAAAATACCTATCAAACTTAAAGGTTCCTTTTGCAATGAGCGATACCTCCGATTATCGATTTGTCCACAAGAGGGAGGTTAGAGACTCAAATGACTAGCTGCGTAGTTCATCTAGTTTTTAGAAAACATCGTAGATAAGGTTAGGTTTGAACATTGCTTCTTGCCGATTACATGCAACATTGTTGAAAGTAATCTTGTAATTGTCTATAAAATATTAATTTCAACGGTTTACGCTTAATAGTTTTACAAAAATGGCATTAAGTCCAGGTACAAAGCAAAAAATTGCCATTGTTTTAGATGTGAGCAAAGTTATATTCCACTGGGGATTCATTCCTGCTGTATTATTTTTAGGTTAGCTTCAAGTTGGTTAAATTATTTTTGGCAAAGTTGTTTTTAAATAATTACAGATATAATCGCATGCTTACAACAGTTTTATAATATATAAGAAGAAAATAATTTTTTAAACAAAATAACATGTTTTATAGGATTTCGAAAGGGTGCTGATCCAGGCATGCCGGAGTTATCGATTATGAAGTAAGTTTTGATATTAATATACACTATTTCTATGTAAAATAATACATTTATTATTAGGACAGTAAAGAATATATATACAATTTTGTATTTCAGCTTATTATGGTAATAAATACACCCGTCTCAACATTGTTCCGTCTTATTTTTCATAAAGCATTTCCATTGTTGCATCAAGATATATTCCTTTGTTACTGTTAAGTTTTATATATGTTTACCTTCACAATTACAACATATTTGGGTATTAATAAGATGTTATTCTCATGTTGGATCTGTTAAAATAAAAATTTCATAGTTAAATATTAAATTATAAATTCACTTTTAATAAACAATCATTAACAAACTTTTGCAAGAAGCTATACATATGCCTTGAATACAATTAAAAATCCCACAATTTTATAATCAGTGCGTCCACGTATGAAAATAAAAAGCACTATATCTTTTTGAAATTCTTCAGAGTTGTCGTTGTTGAAACGTAAAACAACATGAGAGTAAAATATTTATAAAAAGTTGTAGATAAAATGTAAAATCGAATAAAAATATGCATTGTTCAATGAAAACCTTCGTAATTGTTGACACGTTGTTTCGTGTTGGTAACACTGGCACCTAACCTGTCAGAAGTAAAGTAGCAGATTGCAACTGTAGTCAGTTTTTGGCACAGAGGTATAACGTTTTAGGTTCGCGGTTTGCTGTGCTTGTCATCGTTTGGAGCACAGCAGTAACGAGCAAAGGCAGTTCAAATTTCTCGTTATAGCGTATGTAGAGAGAGGTAGCAGTAATTCTTAAAGGTGGCTACCACGTTTTCACAAGAATTCCCTTGTCCAACCCTGCCTGTTATGCGGTGGTGAACGTCGACAGGTGAGTGCGCGCTTTCTGTCTCACGATACTTTCCTCATTTTATCAACGAAAAAAACGTTTCCTCTCATGGCGAATGGTTACAATGGTGTTATTTCTACCAATTGCTCTTTGTGGATCTTCAATAGTGACGGATGGTAGTGTTATAGCACGAAGATTTGCGATGTTCTGAAGTTTCCTGACGAAAAGATTCGAGCTACTGCTAACGATGTGCATCCTGATGTAACTACATCGGTATGGACCTTCCAATTACCGACTAACCTTTTTTGAACAAATGATTTTTTTTCACGAACATCTTTATTCGGGTCGAATCAACGATCGCTTGTCCTTAACTTTCTTGTACCTACACAAAGGTTTCATATGACATTATTTATAGTTTTGTACAGGTTTTCAGCAGCTTCATATACGTTCATTAGTATATAGTTGTAACACTCACATTTTTACGTTATTTGTAATTCGTTTAAATCATCAAGTGTAATAATACACTGAATTTATTGCCTTTTCTTTTTCTTTAATTATCATCCAAATCATAAAATACTTGGAATAAACTGATATTGTATTTCTGTTTCAGTTTTCTTTTCATTTCCTAATCCTTTGTTTGACGTATCTCAACTTTGCCCAAAACATAATCCAAGTTCTTTTTATATCTTCTGTGCAGAAATTACGGTAGAAAGTAGAAACAGTGACGCTCACTCGACAAGCACATAGAAAGAAAATGTCAGGGCATAGAGGCGGTGGAGGGGCTGGGAGTCATCAAGGGGGCCCGCCTGGCCTTAAACAAATAGATTTAGATCAAATCTGGGGAGATCTACGCGAGGGTATCGAACAAGTCTATAACAGACAATGCATGTCTAAACCAAGATATATTGATTTGTACACGTATCCTTTGTAACATTTTTAAAAGATAAAAATGATTGACAGCGATCTAGATTAATTTCCTTACTACTTTATATAATTTGTCAGACATGTATATAATTATTGCACAAGTGTTCATCAACAATTAACTAGAACATCGACCAAAAGTAAAAAGGGACAAATTTCTCAAGGAGGTGCACAGTTAGTCGGTTTGGAGCTATACAAACGTTTACGCGAATTTCTTAGAAATTACCTCATTAGTTTATTAAAGGTAATTATAATATTGGAAAATGTTTCCTGTTTACGTATTCAAAAATAATTCACGATTAATACGGCCGATTTTTTAACTTTACGTAGCACGGAACTGATTTGATGGATGAAGATGTATTACAATTCTATACAAGACAATGGGAGGAATATCAGTTTAGTAGTAAAGTATTAAATGGTGTATGCGCTTATTTAAATCGTCACTGGGTACGCAGAGAATGCGAAGAAGGTCGTAAAGGAATTTATGAAATTTACCAATTAGCTTTGGTCACATGGCGAGATAACTTATTCAAGCATTTAAATAGACAAGTAAGAAATTTCACTTAGCGTAAGATTACGTAAGAAATACGATTTAATCGAAAAAATGATTTCATCATTTTTATTGTATTTAATATTACAGGTCACAAATGCAGTGCTTAAGCTGATCGAACGAGAGCGGAACGGGGAAACAATAAACACACGTTTAGTCAGTGGTGTAATTAATTGTTACGTAGAATTGGGTTTGAACGAAGAGGACCCTGGTGCTAAAGGACAGAATCTTACCGTTTACAAAGATTCGTTTGAAAATGTCTTCCTTGAGGATACAGAAAGATTTTACACTCGAGAAAGTTCAGAGTTCCTCAGACAAAATCCAGTGACAGAATATATGAAAAAGGTTTCGAATGACGTTCTAAAACGTATGCGTTTTTAAAGAAATTATTTATACAACTACCATTCTATTACAGGCGGAACAAAGGTTGCTGGAAGAACAAAAACGCGTTCAACTGTACTTGCACCAAACAACGCACGATAGATTGGCGAAAACGTGCGAGAGAGTGTTAATTGAAAAACATTTAGATATCTTTCATTCTGAGTTTCAAAATCTGTTGGATGCTGACAAGAATACAGACTTGGGTCGCATGTATCAACTAGGCGCAAGAATACCGAATGGTCTTGGGGAATTACGAAACCTTTTAGAAGGCCATATAGCTAATCAAGGATTTGCGGCTATCGATAAATGCGGCGACTCTGCAGCTAATGTACTTTTTCTTTTTTTTTACCTCATTTATCGTACTTGTAATAAATGATTGCCAAATTAATAATACTTTAACACAGACTTTTACACAGGATCCAAAGGTCTACGTGAACACAATTTTGGAAGTTCATAAAAAATACAATGCTCTAGTACTTGTTGCATTTAATAACGACAGCGGGTTCGTGGCAGCTCTTGATAAGGCTTGTGGAAGATTTATTAATAGTAATTCGGTAACTAGAGCAGCGAACAGCAGCAGTAAATCGCCGGAGTTACTAGCAAAATACTGTGATCTGCTACTGAAAAAGAGTAGTAAAAATCCGGAAGAAGCAGAACTCGAGGATACACTCAATCAAGTTGTGAGTAGAAATCACTTTTACAAGAAAGTGAAAAAAGAGACTTCCATTAAACAATGATATTACATTTTGATTATAGATGGTAGTATTTAAATATATCGAGGACAAAGATGTATTCCAAAAGTTCTATAGTAAGATGTTAGCGAAACGATTGGTACAACACATGTCCGCCAGTGACGATGCGGAAGCGTCAATGATTTCTAAATTGAAACAGACTTGTGGTTTTGAATATACTTCAAAACTACAACGAATGTTCCAGGTACTGTATTAGACTATAAAGTTACAATCCATACGTATAAATCGCGTTCGGTGCACACAGTTGAATTTAATACTTTTTTCTGTAGGCGAATATTTTCACGTTATCTAACGATATCGGTTAAAATTATATAACATTATAATTGTAGCAGTCTGTCCACAGGATATTGGAGTGTCCAAGGATCTAAATGAACAATTCAGAAGGCATTTGACGAACTCCGCCGAACCATTGGACATAGATTTCAGCATACAGGTGTTATCTTCCGGTTCGTGGCCGTTTCAACAATCGTTTACTTTTTCTTTGCCAACAGAGGTAAACTTGATTAACGAATGATTTATTCTCGTTTAAAAGTAAATATTAGTATAATGTTGTATTTTGTACATTACAGCTAGAACGATCTGTACATAGATTCACTACTTTCTATAGTTCACAACATAGTGGAAGAAAGTTGAATTGGTTATATAATATGTCTAAAGGAGAATTGCATACAAATTGTTTTAAAAACAGGTGATAATATGTTTAGTCGTTAAGTCTTAAATCAATAAGCGTTTGGCAATGTTCGTCGGTATATTTTTATAATTTAATCGTAGATATACGTTGCAAGCATCCACTTTCCAAATGGCCGTCTTATTGCAATACAATGGTTCTACCTTGTGGACGATACAACAGTTACACGATGCTACACAAATAAAAATGGATTTTTTGCTTCAGGTAGCTTAGAAACGTGGAAAATGAAATTTGAGTATTCGATCGTTACAAAAATATTTTCAATATTTCAGGTTATTCAAATATTGTTAAAAGCTAAACTATTAACTGCAGCTACGGACGATGAAAGCGAATTGACACCACTATCGACGGTGGAACTTTTCGCAGGATATAAAAAGTATGTACATTTAATTACGCGCGATGAATATTTTTTGAAAAATTATATATTGATACATTGTTCTTGTAACAGCAAAAAGTTGAGAGTAAATATCAATATACCAATGAAAACAGAACTGAAAGTTGAACAAGAAACGACACATAAGCATATAGAAGAAGATAGAAAACTTCTGATTCAGGCAGCAATTGTTAGGATTATGAAAATGCGGAAGGTATTGAAACATCAGCAACTGGTCGCTGAAGTATTGAATCAGTTAAGCTCTAGGTTCAAACCACGAGTACATGTTATTAAGGTAAGTATTTAAAAAAAAAAAACATTTTTTATAATATCTTATATTTTCAGAGTATTTTTTGAATGCGGGAAATTTATCGACTGATTGCGTGTATCTTTTACTTTTATCAATTTATCATGACATGATATCGATGACTCAGAATGTTTGAAAATCTATTGTTGTGAAACAAAGGATTTTATCTTAACATAAAGGTGATTCTGCTCTTTCAGAAATGTATAGATATTTTAATTGAGAAAGAATATCTGGAGCGCACAGAGGGTCAAAAGGACACTTATAGCTACCTGGCATGATCAAGTTGATCTAGGACAACGATACAGCAGCAACCATATACTCGAACGAAAGATGACTCTTCAATCTCATTGCTACCATGCTGTCACAATATTTATTTACATCTCGTACTTTGAATCTCGTACATTTTCCTTGTACATGGATGCCTTTGTACCATGTTGTCCCTCTGGTCGCATTTAGAGTCTCGATTTTATAATATGTTAATAAAATCATTTCATAGTCAAGCTGCTAGGTGTGTTACTGTCTGTGACGCCTTCGACGGAAATCGAAACATCGCTGAATTTTTATACGATATCGTGTTATGAAATGAAAAATGCACGAGTTAAATTTTTTTTTAAATTCATAACATTACAGAGAACAATATGAATTACATTCTTGGAGTTATAAATTGTTTAATAAAACGGAAAGATATAAAGCTGATTGTGATAAGAATGGAATGATATAACATCCTACGAATATTATTAAATTTATTATAAAATGATTAATATACGTTTAAGTTACACGTTGATTAATTAGATAAAAAGCTGGGCTCTTTTTTTTCTCTTGTTTTGATAACACGAAGTCAAACCTTTCGTGTGTGACTTTCTCTTTGAGACTGTAAAATAAGAATTATAATCTTACCACCTATGTGTATTATAGCATGATACAAAGTACATAAAAGTTACATAAGCACGTAGATGGTAATGCAATTTAATGCAGCAGTCATGAATAACAAATATTAAACGTATTTAAAACAGAACAAAAATTTTATACCAGTGAATTAAAAGGAATCTGTCCTGGTAGTATAAAAATCCGAGTTATTTTTAACTATCAATTTAAAGTGAACTTTTGTAATAGTTGACAGAATTTTGAAAGAAGCATATTATTATTTTCATAAATAATTTATAGTAATAATAATAAATGGAAAAATTCATGACTTACTATATAAAGATTCGATAAGATTAACGAATATAGAATACATGTTGTATATACTATGTCTAAAGCTTGAAAATTCATTTTTCTTATAGAGAGAAAAGAGCGACATTCAAAGTCTTTTCAATGACAAATATATCAAAATTTCGATTAATCATTTGAATGTTTTTAGAAATTGATATGAAATTCAAAGTGCAATATAAAATGATTTAAAAATGCGTACTATAACGTGACTTTAAGTGCAGGCACGAACAAAACTTAACACGGAGGATGAAGTAACTGTTGTTGAATAAATATACAATGTAAAAGGGAATTTTGTGACATTCAGTATGTAGAACAATTGAAAACTGAAAATTTTTTAACTGATAATTATTATAATCAAAAACGAAATGATAAGGGAAGAAACGGGGCAGATTGTACTAAACATTGAAGAGTGAGTAACGTATTCATATTTAATTATAAACAAAAAGCTATTAACTTAATGTATGTTATTAAATAAAATACAATAATTTTATAATTTTATTCAATAAAATCTTACATATTCAAATATTGAAAAGGTAAAATAAAATTGTTCAAAGGTTGTGCGAATAACGTTTAGTCGGGAGTACCAATACGTGTATCATCTTCACTCACTTTTTTTTTTTAAATATCTGACACTATTTAAATAATTTAGAAGTGGATATTTTTTAAATTATTCATTTTCTTCTGTAAATAGAAAGTTCACGAAACATTGTATTGTTTAGATATGTAATTAAAATATAAATTGAAATTTGTAAAATCGATACAATATTTGATTTGAAATGACAGGTGTTTTCCGAATTTGAGTAATGACATGTCTCTTAAATACATATGTGTTATATATTATATACACATGAAATCGAAATGACTGTCTAACAAAATATCGATTATGGAATGAAATGTTCTAAATTTTTGTACATAACAACCGATCCTTATCGTTAACGATTTTATTTCTCGTGCACAAAATAGGATTTGCGTGTAAATAAAAATTTAGTGAATCATTTAAAATGATCATAAATTAAAATTGTCCAGTTCAAGACAGTTACAATGGAAATCAATTATACATTTTCTCGTAATTTTGTATCATGATGTTTTTTAAAAATGTTATGCGACAGTAATGAAACTTCATAAAACGGTATGATTTCCATGGTGACAATATTTATACTTTTTTGTATTTCACTGTAAGACCTATTGCAGATCTTCATCATTCAAATGTTATCACAACTGTGTGTAGAGTAAATAAATAATTGCTATGATTATAATATAATTATAAATTCGTTTATTTCAAATTAAATGGTGTTAAAAAGCTTCACGAATTGAAAGAAATTTTTCGAATAAACACAAGTCTTGGGTTAGAGAACGCAAGCATTTAAAATTTCATAGCATCTGGCAGGTAATGTATAGGATACAAAATTTCTGTGAGGAATATCATTAGAAATTACATGCTGTAATATAAAGTTGTACAAAACGTGTGGCTATGAAATGAAATTATTCCAGTTTTTGCAATGTATAAATTGTAGTAGTCATTCAATAAACGTTTTATATACAATTTATCATATGTATTGAAGCTTTTGGTCCAATAATCTTGAGAAATCTTCTTTTGTAAATTTCAATTGTCCAATTGTTATTAAGCATGCCTTGTTTGTACAGAAATATCGAAATAAGTAAATAAAATAATTTCATATATTTATGTACACTAACAAGTGCAATAATTACTTACATTTTGTTTCTTTAAGTTATCTATAATTAACATTTGTTTTTTAAATGCTTGTAGTACTTCTGAAAGTTGTTTCCCCAAATTGTTAACAGTCATTCTCTTATCTTCTTGTAGTTTTCTGATTTGATTTCTTAATTCCTAAACATACATCAAGTTTCATGAAAATCTAGAATGATAAATTTCTCTGGTTATATCAAACACATTTTATAATTTATACCTTTTCTTCTGTTTGAGAACATTTGAGTGCACTCCTGAGCTTATCATTTATTTCCAAAGACCTATTTAATCTGATGTTATAATTACTGGCATGTTGATCTGATATTTTTATCTGTTTCTCAAGTTTATCCAGCTCCTGTTAAAAAGATATCTTATAAATTCATATAATTTATTTTCTTACTTTTACTAATGATTTGTACTTTTTTCATGTTTAAATTTTCAGCATTTAATGCTTGACATTGACACTGTAATTCTTTATTAGTATTTTCTAATTTTGTAACTGTTCCTTTTAATGATTCCACTTCATTTTGTAATTTTATTTCCAGTTTCTTATTTTCAGACTCCAAACTTTTACAGGTATCACTCTAAAATAACATTTAAAATATTAGTTAAACAACTTCCTATATACTTTTGTGTCTACAAAAACTTTACCTTTTTTTTGTATTCAGTTTGTATTGTTTGTAGCTCATTTTGTAGTATATCTATTTTACTTTTAAACAAATTAATAACAGTTTTATTTGCCAGGTTTCTTTTTTTGGAAGCTTCATTTACAATTTCCTCTTGTGCTTCTACTTTTCTGTTGCAGAACAATAATACAATTACAATATATTTAATATTAATAAATAATTATTTTCTATCGATACTCACGACTGTGCAAAAATATGAGGTAAAGACGAGTTTCGTTTAACAGAAACTTGAGCATTATTTTCTGTTTGCGCTGTTACATCTTCGTTTATAAAATTCGGACGATATATTTTTGGATCATAAACCGATAATCCATTGTTATAAGTATTTATAGCATTATCTATTTTTTCCATTAAATTATGCGCTTTCTCTTCGAGTTCTTCATTTAACTGCCGAAACCCTTTCTCTTTGATCAGTAAATCTTCGGTCATTTTTCGGTATAGTTTTAATTACTTTTATTAATTGTTTAAATATTTATACAGGGATACAAGTTTTTTAATATGTGCATAAATATACTTCAGTATAAATACTATATATCAATGTAAGTACATGTATTCGCTCGTTGTTAGGCATTTTGTGTATGTACATTTTATTCGAAAAAATGCATGATTCATGTTATCATCTTGGGGTCCCAAACACCCCCAGGTCAAGTTAAATCTGCATGTATAGAGCACAGTTAGTTTGACAGTGTGCCTGTTTTATCCGCCTCTCTTTTATCATACCTCGCATTCACAACTAAAAAGACAGAATTTTAACGCCTTTTAATTCTATTTTTTAGAAATTAGTCAAAACCTGCACAAAGCCAAAAAATTATTAAAATAGTAATTGTTTGACACAGTTGTGGTTTAAAAAGCCCGCCATAAATCAAATTTTTAAAAATTCGATCCTATCGCCATCTTTACGAAAACGGCGGAAACTACTCAACGTTTACCGATTAGTAGTTTCCACCGTTTTCGTAGAGATGGCGCTAGGATCGAATTTAAAACACCACCCTTCTGGCGGGAGAGTTAATTTTACAATTAAATTGTATTATAATTAACGTTTTAATTTATAAGTCAATTGTAAAATATGAAAATAAGCATTTTAAACTAGCCATTTTATCGAGGAGGTAGCATTAGTTCTAATAAGCTGCTTGCAGTGACTAGCTGACCTCGAAATACTGAGTGATGCCACAAATTCAAGATCCCTCGAAAACAAAGACATGTCCAAAGGCGGGACTTTTCTGAAGTTGATCGATACAAAGGAAAAAGAAAAAAAAAAGAAGACGTTAAAGGTATCGGTACCATGTATAACATTCAAATTCTGATGACAAATAAAAATGACAGCGCGTTTAATTATACAAGGTATGTCTTTTAATAATAACAGCAACACTCTGTTACTAACGAGATACTTTTTTCTTTTACAATTTTTATACTAATAATTATTGTTTCTTTACAGTTTTTGATCAGTATCAAAGAGCCCGTCTTTCATTCGTTCAATCTGTTGCCGATTTTGCGTCGAAACCATACAATGTAGAATGTTTAGAAGCTGCTGGGGCTTTGGATCTATTGTATCCTTTGTTAGCAGATCATGTACCATCCATTCAACACATGGCAGCTGTTGCTTTAGGGAAACTTGCGAATAATAATCATAGGATAGCACAAACTATTATAAGAAAAGACATGTTACCTCAGTTATTAAAGAACATTGATAAACAAAATGTACGAATGTAAGCATATTAATGATAGAAAAATAATTTTTAATATAAATTATATGAATCTCAAGTATATTTGTTTCAGAAATTTTATAAAAAAGCAGCTTTATGTGTCATACGTGGAATTGCTAAACATTCCCCTGAATTGGCATCTATAGTGATTCAAAATAATGCATTGGATGTCATTATACTTTGCTTAGAAGATTTTGATTCTGGAGTCAAGGAGGCTGCTGCTTGGACATTAGGATATATTGCTAAGCATAATAAAGAATTAGCTGAAGCTATTGTTGATGCGGGTACTTAGATTAATGTTATTATATCGATTATAGGTTTCTTTACTAATAATAATGTTAATAGGTGGTGTACCTCTTTTGGTCTTATGTTTGCAAGAACCAGAACTATACCTAAAACAAATTAGCGCATCCGCTTTGTTTGATATAAGCAAACATAGTAATGATCTTGCAGAAACTGTAGTTGATGCAGGAGCAATTCCTTTTCTTGTGAAAGCATTAGCAAATCCTGATAACAAATTAAAGGTGAAATGAATTATCATGTTCGATGATTTTACAGTATAATAATCCACTTGTTACTAATATATCCAGCACCAAGTTCTTTCTGCTTTAAGCAGTATAGCAAAGCATTCTGTACAACTGGCTGAATCAGTTCTTGAAGCTGAAATTTTACCCGATATTCTGGTACACATGGCGCATCCCGATGAATGTGTTATTAAAGCTGCGGCAATATTAACTAGAGAGATTTGCAAACATACAATAGAAGTAAAATAAGTATAAATTTTTTGTTCGTTTATTTTTGTTAACATTATTTATTTTCTTACAATTATACTTTCTTTCAGATGGCCCAACTTGTTGTAAATAACGGCGGTATCGGTGCACTTGTCGAATTAATTGCTACTCCAAAATTAATGGCCAGATTATCAGCAATAATGGCAATTGGATACATTGCTGGACATTCGGATCAATTAGCTATTGCAGTTATAGGATCTAAAGTATATCATTTTAATATATCTGCTATTATATTTTACTGACATACCGTATTTTTGCAGGTAATCGATTATCTATCTCTGATATTGCATAAAGAGACAGATAATCATGTACTTGCTGTAACCGTATGGGCAATTGGACAAATCGGGAAACATACATCGGAACATGCAAAAGCAGTTGCGGTTGCAAATGTTTTTCCAAAATTATTACAGGTACATATAAAATTTTATGCTATATTACTTATGCTTGTACATTACTAAATAATTCATAGTTAATCCTCAGATTTATAACGATCCAAGTACTCCAGAGGATCTTAAAGCGAAATGTAACACAACGTTAAAACAGGTATTACAACGATGCATGTACGTAGAAGCATTGGAACCTTTGTTACACGATTCGCCTCCGAATATATTGAAATATATTCTTGGACAATTTAGTAAGGTAAGAGGTGTAATAGTATTTTAATTTGTACATAATTCTTCGCTTTATACATGTCCCTTACAAATTGTTTTTAGAGCTTAAAAATGATAACGGTATGATAAATGAAATAATATTTTTCTTTTATTATTTATGTAAATGATACAAAACCAATATCATAACAAATATTTTTCTATGCAATACAAAGGATTTTTGCATAAAATTATTGTACAATTATAATTTCGGATCTAAACATAGTTGCATAACAAACTATATTTATGTATATGTACGAAATATTATTAAGCTATCTAATATTGCTCTACTGAAAAATTGGTCAAACAATCGTATAAGATGAATGTTTCTCTTTTGTCATATAAAATCTGTTATACTATAACGTCATTCTAACTGTTAAGATTCTAATTTTGTGATATTACTCTGATACAATGACAGTTTATTCAATAGCTATATAATTTGTTCATAAAATTTTTTGCTGTTCAACTTTCCTGTATGCATTTTAATTTGACATTAGTTAACGTAGATATCAAACATCACATACTTTTATTTAAAATTAATATTCTCGATATGCTGTACATCCTTGTGTTTGTTTAACAATAGATCTATAGGAAGTGAAAATATTGATAGTAGCGTCGAAAGGTCCGAATTACTTTTTTTCATTTCTTCTCTTTTTAATGCTTGTCTAATAATTACTATGGCACATATGGTGCCCTGGAAAAGCACATTTCTCAGTCTTACGACAATAAATGGTTCGGCTAATATAATGAGGACGATTGAATGGTTAAGTGCCTGTGGATTCAAAAGTTCTTATTGGAGCGTGAAATATTTGAACGTACTTTCTGTTGAATAAATTCTTTGTTTCTAATGCATCGTGATGTAAGTATCTCGTAATGGCAGTATTTGATGTAAAGAAACTAGCAAGTATATATAAACTTTGCAGGTGTAAATTAAGTACTAATGAATGAAAATTTTCTGTATGAAACTGTTTGTCAGTAAGGCAGTAATTTGATACTCACACTAATATTATAAATGTAAAAAAATCTTAGTATTATTCGTTTTGAATTATAATTTTTGACAAATATCGAGTCCATCGACTATAGCACTGTTAATAAATGTTATTGCATTCCGGGGAAAAAAAAAAAACAAACGAACCAGCATTTATCTTTCGCTCTAATTAAAAACTAAAAAAAGAAACTAAAATCCCGAGGTTTACCAAAATTTTTGTTGCAGCACAATTTCAAATTGTAAAGCAATTAAGGCATATACTCGGTTCAGAACACGCAATCTGTCCAAGTATCTCTGAAAAATGAGAAAAATAAAAAGTTATGTTATGCCGCTAAAGTTATTGCATAGATATAAAAAATCGCAATTAGGTAAATATTTTCACAGCTAAAACAAGATTTAAACAACATATTTTTCTATCTAGAATGATGAAACCGCGTAACAGTAAAGCAATATAAAACAGAAAATGTTTTCGTTACTTTAATATCCTTTAAATAGAAGGTCCTGCTTTGTAAAGACTAGAATGTGTGTTAATTTGTGCTGTAATTTTTAAACATTTTATAATAATATATCATTCTTCCATTGTACCATTATAAAAGAAATATGAACGTCTTATATCAGTAAGTAATGGTAGAAAAAGCACATATGATACATATTCGTATCATATCGATTTTAATAATAATCTACATAGTCATTGTAGCAAACAAACTTCAACCTAATATATGACGATTGCACGTAATTAAAAGATAAACATTTACCAAGATAATGTCTTGTGTAAGATAAGCTTCTTTTTAAGTAGAATCATTATTAAGTACAAAATCATTGCCTTAAAAAAAAAAAAAAATTAATATTTTATCAAAATAAAAGATTAAAGTTGGTCTGCTACTTTATCCATGCAACAAAATTATTATTTTATTCATCGTTATCATCGTTAGGTTTAATGCTAGCGTAATTGTTCATATTTCTATTCACCCTTAACATCTTGAGAAAACTGCCTAGGACAAGTATTGTTTTTCTGTGCCTTCTGAAGATCCCCGCATAAAGCTCTTCGCGCACATCCCTTCTATCACTCACATCGGAATCAATACTCGATACAGAGACCACAGAAGGCTTTGCTGAGACCGGTTGATGATAATTGTTGGTCTCACCGGAATTAAGAATAACACAATGCTGATTGTTTATCATGTCTATTACTAGTTTCCCACTTTTTCTCTTTGATATCAAACCGATGCTCTTTATACCGTATCGTAGTTCACAGCGTTCAAGAAAACTTTCTCAAGTTTTCTTCTCGTATAGTCCATGAAACTTCAGTCATTACACTGCACGATTTTCCGTTGAATTAACTTCTTATAAGTTACAGATTTCTACCTTTCTGATATCAGACATATTTGCTAGGCTTCTTGCAAACAACACCATTTAATATACAATACTATTTGACTGTCGTGTATAGTGATGTCATCTCCCTTTATCGCTTATATCATTACTTGTTTGAACTTTAAGGCAGCTGTCTTGTTATCTTTTAATTACAATGCTTTAAGTCTCTTAATAATCTTCAATCTTGATTTTCATTTCACGTTTCTCCGAATTATTAATTCAACTATTTTAATAAAAAATCGTTGTATTTAGAGCTGTGCTTATCATTTACATACGTATAAATGTTACGTATATTTTTACTATGTATTTAGTAAATTATTTAAAAATGCTTCAAAAATTTCAGGACCTTTCAACTTCTAATATGTACAAATTGTTTTCAGATTAAATATAAGTAAAAACTTATGATTTGTAATAAAAATCGACAGACAGTTACAGTTCAAGTTCTGATAAGAAAAATGGTCTTGAATTTTCTTCTATTCCTTTAGCGGCCAATCTTTAGTGTCACATAGATCCGACTGAAAAAAAAATATAGTATTTCATTATTATAATCCTATTATAAATTAATAACATTGGGACAATGAAAGAGCTTCGAACAAATCAACAGGTTTACGACGAACATATTCTTTCGCAACGTCGTTCTGGAATTTTGTTTTCGAAAACAAGATATTCTTAGCGACGAAGAAAAATAGGGAACCTGGACAGATTTGGCATCGGTCATAACGCGTTACGTACAATGTTTCTGATATAACGTTAAAAAAAGAACATTACTGTACTCGAATATAGTATTACCAAATATTCGATAATTTATTCGAATATTATCGAAATCTAATAATTGACATTAATTACAAAGTTCCTTATATATTGTTATCATCAATCTTCGTTCAGATTGCTATCAGTCGAATGCGACATCGGTGCTGAAAATTTCTCTGATTTCTACATTAGATAAAAACAGAATGTTGTAATACAATTTAATTTTGATTCGTTACTGATTGAAATATCTAAAGAATTAATCCAGGTTTTGGTTTTAAGTAAATATTATGAAAGAATATGTAAGTCATGTTTGAGAGGCGTTATTTTTAGACGCGTTCAAGTACAAACTGATTATTAATAAATGATAAGAACATTAAAAGAAATCATAAATTATTTTAAATTCTTTTTTTTTAAGAACTTCTTTTTCCACAGATACTGCCTCACGATGCCAGGGCAAGAAGACTATTTGTGATATCCGGTGGCTTGAAGAAAGTACAAGAAATTGAGGCTGAACCTGGTTCAATGCTCTTAGAATATATACAGATTATCAACTGTTGTTTTCCGGAAGAAATTGTCAGGTTGTTTTTAACTTACATTTCTTATCAATATTTTTCCAGTCAAATATATGCAGTATATATAACAGCTATTAATTATGTTAATAACATTCAACAATTACAACTTCACTGTCTGAATTGTACGGAATTTTATATCCTTTCAGACTTGATTATTACTTTGCGACTGTATTTGGGTGTTTTTAAACAGTCCTTTTCTCCTCTTTTACCTATAAAATATTTTTATTTGTTAAACTCATTAAAATTTCAGTGCTTGTTGAATATGAATGAGTAATTATCAAAAACACTAGTTGCTTTTGATATAACTTTTTTAAAAATTACTTACTGAAGAAATCCAGAAACGTGAGCTTTTGTTAATGAAAAAGGTCCAGTCTTCTCAGAGTCGTTTACACGAGCAACGAATATAAATAACTGCACTTCTGTTTCTAGATCGCGTGTCTTAATTTAAATCGGGCAAGTAATCTACGGCGTGATCGCCATGTTGTCACAGCTGATTACATTGGAAAAATATAAATTCAGACTTTAATAGATCAATAACTTTACGTTTTGATGCAATCAAAACACTGTTTTGTATTATCGTACCCATATCGATACGCTATCAATGTACAAGCGGCACATTTATCATCGTAATTTTTACACGTTTAATAATCATTGTTTATCGTTTAAATTTTTATATTGAAATACTATTTTATTCTGTCTTAACTTCATTAGAATCAAAGTTTAATTTTAACAATTAATAGACACAATTTTTGTTATTAGATATTATTCTCCTGGATATCCGGACAGTCTTCTGGAAGCGGTTGAACAGTATCAACCGAAATGCCCGTCCTTGTTCACGTTGGATGAACATTTATCCTCCGAGACTGATTCCAAATCTTCGTTATCATCTCAAGTTGACGAGTGTTAAATTATACAATTACATATATTGTTTAACGATATATTAAAGCAGTATAAAAAAATCTTTCCAAATGAACTGCTCAAATTAATGTGGTTTTTGTATTTCAGAACAGAAATATACATATACACGAATAGACTATTATGTATGTGTTAGAAAGAACTATGTATATGTATATATCTTTGTAATACGATTTAAGTTGTTTCTTAATCAGTTTTTATCGCTGATATCTTTAGATAATTGATAATCACTGAACCTCAGAGGAGGTATAGGCACAGACGAGATTTTAGATAAGACCAAGTAACTTATGAAAGTTTGTGTTTTATGATCTGAAATATCGACATCATCTATAGAAGTTCTTCAAATGCCATCTAACATATTTCCCGTGTAACTCAAACTGATTTCATCAATAATTTAAAAAATTGTATTATTTACATCTCCTTTGTGTTTTGGGAATTTGTAGTTTAACGTCAAATTTTATTTTAAGTTATTCGTTTCTTCGTAAAGATATTAAGTTTACATAGGTAAAATGTCATATCGTCAATATTGTCATTTTTCAAAAGTAAAGTCAACTGCGTCAAGTGTAGAACCTAACCACGTGTAGAGAAAAAGGAAGTTAAATACTTGCGAAAACACGTTGCGGTTTAATATTTTACTGTATCGAGTATTGTATTAAGTAAACCATGGAAGTTAATAAAAGGATCGTGAAGAAAAGAAAGGTAAATCGTCCAAAGCGACCTATAAATATGGTGCACAGAGAAAAACGCGTGCATTCGAGGGCATTGTATACTAAAAAGTTTAAAGCACCTTTGAAGAAAGTTCGCAAAAATGAATATGATCCAAAAGAAGAAGCCAGGTATAACAAGAATGTATAAAATACTTGGGACTTGTTTTAAAAATCATCATGTAATTTTGTACAGGTTAGAAAATATCGTATTTGGCGATCCCAGCGATATTATAAATAATTTGCCAAACGAAGAAGAATTGAATGAAAGTAAAACTATTACTACAAGTAGCAATGATTCAGAACATTCTAAAGAAGCTGCATGGGTTGATGAAGATGATGTTAAATATTCGTATGTACATTATGTTTACTAATGGAACTTGATAGTAAAAGGATACATTACTAATTGAAATAATTGATTTTTACTAGAGTACAAGCTGCTGCAAGAATACAAGGTAGAAAAATTGACAGCAGTGTACCACAAAAGTTATATAAAGACTATTTACACAATAAATATAAACAACTTGTGGGTACTCCAAAGTGGGCCGAGCTTAACAGAGTAGACAAAGAATCTGATGATTTGGATAATGAAATATTAAAGGTACTAAGCTTTTTTCAATAATTTGTTTAGACTACATATGTAAATACATTGTTTTCTTTTAGCATAGCTGCCATTTAGAGAAACCTAAAGTAAAAAACTTATCAAAAGATATAATAGATATAAAAGCACTGACTTCCATAAATAAGCAAACACATACAGAAGGACCAATTGTATCCAGTGTTGAATTTCATCCAACTTCTACTGTTGCCTTAGTTGCTGGCTCATCTGGAATTTTATCCCTTTTTCAAGTAAGCTTGTGGAGGTTAATTATACTTTGAAATAGAAAATCACTAATATACAATATAATTGTAGGTAGATGGTATTGAAAATAATAAACTGCACACAATGCAATATAAGAAGTTTCCCATTAGTACAGCAAAATTTTTGCAAGAGGGTACAGAAGTCTTGCTTGGTTCTCAATATTATTCGCATTGTCATTCTTATAATTTACTCAGTGGAAAGACATATAAAGTACTACTACCACATGGGGTCACTAATATGCAGGTTTTTATTATTACGCCAATAATTTTCGTGGTAATATTAACAGTTTTAAATAATAAAATTATTAAATAAATAATTTAGAAATGCGAAGTGTCTCCAGATGGGAAATTATTAGCACTTTGCGGACGATTGGGTGAAATTTTCTTATTAGCAAGTTCAACCAAAGAACTTATAGCTACCTTAAAAATGAATACAAGATGTAGGGCGTTGTGTTTCACTTCAGACAATAAGAATCTTATTACACATGGTGGTAAGTTACAGTTTTTAAACAGTTCTTAATTTTTGTTTAATCGTATCTTTCCATAATTACAGATAGCAATGAAATGTACATCTGGGATTTGAACAGTCGTATGTGTATTCATCGAGCTCTAGATGACGGATGTCTATCTTGTGAGTCAATTGCGATGTCTCCGAGTGGTCAATTTTTAGCAACAGGTAGTAAAGAAGGTGTAGTTAATTTGTACGATACTAAAACGGTATTAGAAAATCAAATTCCAGTTCCTTTGAAAATTGTTTTAAATCTTGTAACGTCAGTTACCAGTTTGAAATTTAATTCTCATTCTGAAATATTAGCAATGTCTTCAAACAAAAAGCATAATGCTTTTAAGATGATGCATTTACCATCATTTACAGTCTTTTCAAATTTTCCAACGTTTCAAACAAATATAATGATGCCAGAAACCATTGATTTTTCACCAAGCAGTGGTTACTTATCAATTTCTAATAGATCAAACAGTGCTTTTTTGTATAGATTAAAACATTATGGAAATTACTAGGGATAAATCATCTTGTAAAATATAGTGAAAATTAAGAACACGTTTCGGATATTGAATAGATTTATTTATATACAAAGTGCATATGTCTATAACAATTACAAGTGTTATTCTTTTTGTTACTTTGAATACATATATACGTATTTTACTCAACGGATTACCTGTACCGCGGCATAATAATAATGTCGTATAAAATCGAATAAAAAAGGTTTGACATTTAATGGGAAAATATACATGTAAGTATATTGAAAACAGTAGATAAATAATACATTTTCGATTAAATATCACATTTATCGTGTATTTATATCCGACAGAATTTTTTTATCTTTTCGGTGTTTTGTATACTATGTACACAAAGTCAGGAATTAATTCTAACACTTTTACTAATATTTGAAGCCAATAAAATGTTATGATTATTTATCACGTAAAACAATGATTTGAAGTCGTGTAAATATTCATAATGCGTATTCAGAAGCGTAATTACCTCCTTTGGTCAGTTTTCGATTTTTATAAGAAAAAGAATAAAACTATTTATACAAGTATATTTCATTATGTGGAATACAATAAATGTATGTATTCACACATAAACACACATTCAAGTACGCCATACGTACGTATGCATTCGCACATTATTCTTTACTTCTATACTTATTTGGTTGATGAATTTTCATTAATATTTTATACTATTTGTTGGCTTTAAAAAATGTCAATCTTCGTGCAAACTTACGTACAATCAACATATGTATATACAAAATATTTACTACCATATATACAGAATTTTTTTTTGACCCTCTGGTCAATAAAGAAATTTTTCTTAAGTCTTCGTCTCTTCTTTCAGGGTTGAAGTATCTATGTTAGTTTGCTCAGTATCTATATTCCTTTGGTGAATAGGCGTGAGAAATACTAGCTATTGGTCCCCGGCGGTGGTTGCTAGCGTAGTAGTATCTCCGCTACTACTTTCTACTATCAGCATTACAGTTTCAGCAGCACCTCTTACACATTCCACTTGATGACCCGCCCAATCCTTGCGCTGACAAAACGTAGAACAATACGGCGTTCGTCTACATAATGAACATTCTGCAAATGCTTCTCTATTACAGTTGGCACACTAGAAACAGTAAAGACCAACAGTTAAGAAAGGATAAGCTGCTTAATGCTAACTCATCATATTCATTAGACACGTTTCGTGTCGTTACCTTTTTATTATGAGAATCCGACGCTGGTTGCAATCCAACAGTTTCAATAACATCTCCTCTACCTCCTAATTGAGCAACTAACGCCTGTTCTCTTCTTTGTTGTCTACTTACTTCCTTAGCCTCATCTAAGGTACGCCTAAATTCATAAGCTAACTTTAACATTTTATTCGACATCTCCTCGAGCTTTTTAAATATATCATCGCCTTGTCCATTTTCAGTTTGATGTACAGTTTGGACAACGGTATCTTCGTGCGGTTGTTGCACGACTAAACCCTCCGCTGAAACAAACTGGGGCCACACTTCTTTATCAGGTATGACTACTTCACCGTCACTTTCGTCGTTGTTACTACCATCCCGCGAGTTATCACTTTTTAGCTTTCGGGATGGCGTTTCTCCGTCGGAGGTGTCTCTGGCTCTTCTTCTACGCTTGTAGGGTGTAAATAATCTTACTGGACCGGTCTGGAATACGTAGAAATTTTAATACAATTTGCAAAATAGAATTAGGTAGGAAGTAGTATAGTGTACTAACTGCACTGTCGTCGTCGCAGCACGCTGCGCACGTGCAAGAGGTAGCGTGTGGCTTTAAAATTTGTTCGTCGATTAACGTCTGTAAACTTCTGCCGCCAAATCGAATACTGCGCTTCCAATCTTTACTGGATGCTCTTCCGCAAAGTGCTTCGAATTCGCTCGGCGTATACCAATCTTGTCCAAGTTTGATGCATCTTCCTCTTCCTCCAGACCCGAATCGACTTTTATGCAATTCTGCATTCGTATTTTTACATCTAACTGGTAACACTGCTAAATTTGCAGATTCTGACCAGCTGCATATTGGTTGTGCATTAGCAGTCGATACATGAATTTGTTCAGATTCTTGTTCCTCTGTGCTATTTTGAATTACTATGTGGGTTGCTTTTAATTCTCCGTTCCAACGCAATGGATCTGTATCCTTATCATGACGCGGTTCACAGATAAAACCATTGTCTACGCATAGCATCTGTTTGAACTGCCCGGAACCAGGTAACTGAAAGGATGAAACAGAAAAAGAGAAAAAAGTTACGTGCCTTGTTGAGATTCACTTCTTGCGCATAGTTTCTGTTCAGGACAGAATACTGATACGTTCAAATAGCATTACACAGACCATTGTGATTGAAATTATGATTATTAAGATTGCATTTAATCTATGTTGGATACATAAAATATTGATGTACAATAATTGTTAAAGGAAACAGGTGTTTTTCTATTACAATGCGCGGGCAGGCGCAGTTTATGTTTTGTACGCTATACATGTTCATTGGCACTTGAAGGCATAGAGAAAAAGTAAAACTCGAACTCATCTTGGCAGCGATTCTTTGACGAGGGTGTCGGTTGTCGTTAAAATTCTTTCTGTACAGGAGAAATGTATCGAATGAGTGGAAGTTGAAGCAATTAATAATTCTTTTGTTTCGGGGGTACCTGTAGTTGATCCGAAGTGATGACGTTGAAGGTCGTGCCGTTGGTCGAGTTCGCAACACCAATGATTGAACCAACGGGTAAAGAAACCGGTACACCAACTCCTGGAACACCAGGAACACCCGCTACTGGAGTGACGCTCGCCGTCACGGCGACGGGATGCGCCTCGTGCTCGGTCGTTAGGGCAGACGCCTCCTCGGTCTCGCTCGTCAACGGTTCGGACATGTCCGGTAGCACGGCGACACTTTCCGATGTTTGACTTTCCTCCATTTCGGCTGTTCTCGCCTCACGCATACACAATGGCGTCAGCGCACGCTTAACGCAGCGCCACGATTTTCGGCTAGCTATGATTACACGCGATCACGATACTTGAAATTTACTCAACATCGGTTACAAAGTAATCACAATCGAATCGAAATTAACAGTGCCGTCAAACGAATTTCCTATTAACTAACTCAATTGTCATTATTTCTCTACAGTTTGCGACGGAATCTTTACTTTTTTCGATCGCATAGATTCTAAGTACGAGTCCCCACTGTTGAGAGCCATCTTTACATGCGTCGAGCAGCGCTAGGTTTAAATTATCGACGTTATATTTTGAAACTTTCATCGAAAAGATGTATCGTTTTAAAAACTATACGCAATATTGATTTTTAATAGAATTGATCGTACAGAAACAAAAAATAAATTCGAATACAATTGTAAATGTGTACAGTCTTATATATAAAAATCGTGAATTTCTTCAGATTTTTAAAACGCCGATTTTTCTAACCTATTTTTCTGTCGTATCGAACCGTTATTTCTAGCTTTTTAATAATTAGTTAAGAATTAACGATTAACGCATTGATCGCCATTGTACGAGGAAATCGTCGATCGATTATGTTGTCAAAAAGAGATGCAGAAGGCGTAGATAATTTAAAAGAGATAGAAGAAGCTAAACCAACCGCATTAGGTATACTTATTGCTATACTAAAACGGAAAAATCGAAAAGAAAGGTATTATTCCGCTACATTTTTTCGTTACATTTTACGATTTTCAGAAAGTTGCATAGATCAGGTTACAATATCGTCAGAGACATGTAGCAGTAACGGTTCAAAGGCGACGAAAGAAACTTCTACGCAAACTTCTTTAACAATGCTTAGATATTTGATACAAGCGTCATCGGATAAGCACTTTGTCGACTCAACAACTTCACCGATGCGCTTTGAACGAATGTCTGAAGACAAAGTAAAAAATCTCTGTGGAAACACGAATCCTTTCCCACGCATGTTCGTTGAAAATCAGGTATATTTCCTATATCATTTTTAATTTTAATTTAAAATCATTAAAATTGATGTCGTTTAAGATGTCGATCACAGTCAGCCCCGAGGCAACGATGCAAGCAACCGGGTTGCGTCCATCGAGAATCAGGACACCTAGAGATGTTCTTCAAGTATCTACCTCTTTCTTATCGAATAATTCTGGTATTAAAAACGAGGTTTTAACCATAACCACCGATTACGGTAGTTCATCAACCGATACACATAGCACGTTGGTAGATGCGATTAATCAGAATGGTATGAATTTATGAATTTTTCTTTTTATCCTGGTTTAGTTTTACCATGACAATTGTATATTTTTCGTCCAAGGTAACCGGGCTCTTCATTTATCTCTGCAAGAAACTTACGCAGCTGCGCCTGTACCTATGCCACCGTTACCGCACACCGGTTCGAGGAACAACTTGTTCAGGCGCAGGTTGAATCACCGATCGTGGAACGTCATGGGATTATTTAACAGTTGCTTAAGATGCGTGTGCACCGTTAATAACGAAGTATTGAATTTCACGCGTTATCAACATTTGCCCGTGTTTTTTGTCGGATTGTACAAATTGTAAAATAACGATTTACGCGATAGTCAGATACGCATCCTTACGTTAGAGGTGCACCCCCTGCTTATTCTACAATGTATGCAAATCATAGAACAACGATGCGCAATTGGAGACCTTTTCGATCCGAGAGTCAACCTTCATTCGTCGCACCGGTACCACCACCGAGTTACGCTCAAGCTCAACAAATTCGTCAAGCTTCTTGTTCCTTGGACGATTTGCTTTCTCCTTCGTTTAATAGTATATACATTTAAAAAGAAGTTACATCTGTAATTGAGCGACAAGGTGTACCTAGACTGACGATGGATTGTTTTATTTTTTAGCGAATCGGAATAGAATCTGGGCATCGAGACCCGTGACTGCGATATGTCCACGATGCACCACGATCATCGTCACCACCATAGAAGTTCGCCAGTCGATGATCACTCATATCGCTGCTCTCGCACTTTTCCTATGCGGGTATAGAATTTTCAGTAAAATAGTTTCATTGCCTTTCTTGTAACTTCTTGTTTATTTAAATATTCATCATTACAGATGCTGGCCATGCTGCATGATTCCATATTGTTTGAATTCGTGCAAAAATATCGACCATCGTTGTCCTGTTTGCCGGGCGTATCTTGGGACTTACAGGCCATGGTGACAAACGTTTGAAAACAACGTAGAAAGTTGCATTCTCCGTCTAATATTCGATGCATTTCTCCACGCGTATTTATCGAGATAATTGTGTTGTGTAATAAGAAAATTTTAAACGAATTGTCTTGTCGAAAGATCTCAGGAAGATAAGTACTTTTACTTTTCCAAGAGACGTACATTAGTTGCTGGTAAAGAGAACTGTTCACGTTTCTTTAATTACAACCGTGAAAGTGAAATTATCTCGTCTCGAAGGATAAGCACAACGAAATGTCGCCGGTTAAATTTCTCGGTTTTCCCTTTGTTCGTATACAGCTAAACGCCCAATTTAAAGTAAATAATCTCGTCGCTTTCTTTAATTTGACGCATACTTAGTTATATTACCCTTCGAGCCATTTTTAAGTCAAAGCGCGTTCGTCTTGAGAAGATTTTCTCAGCTCTCCTCGAACAGTGTAGTAAAATATAAATCGTCGCTTCAGCTTTGCCGAATTTCTACGATGCTAAAACATTATATCGTTGTATTTTTATTAAATTACATTGTAATGTGTAACAACGTTGACGCGTGGAATTCTTTAAGAAGGTATCGACATTTTTGGCAAGCAAATAATTATCCTTCGAACGAAACATCGTCGAGTACCTCCGGCAGAGAAAAACGACGTAAGTTTACATAGAATTTCCCATTAACAATTTAACGAAAGAATTCATACGTTTAGTTTTCCCGTTGTTCACTTTGGTAAAGTTCGACAATAACGTTTGCGTTGGGGCAAACGGCGAAAATGGCACTTGTTTGGCAGCCTCGGAATGCTCGCAACGCGGGGGTGTATCCACTGGAATGTGTGCGAACGGTTATGGAATTTGTTGCATCGGTAAATTTCCTTTATTATATTATTTTATTTTCTCTAACTTTTAAATCGTGATCCATTTGTATCAGTAACTGTGTCCTGCGCCGAGACGACGATCAACAATAACACCTATTTCGTTAATCCGAATTATCCATCGTCTTTCGATGGTACTTTGTCTTGTCAGTTGACCTTAATTAAATCGCATCCAGCTGTGTGTCAATTTAGGTAAGCCTCTTACCTCCAACAGATAAATTAGAAAACGACTGAAAATTGGTGTACGTTTTAGATTGGATTTCGTGCAGTTTAACATAAGAGGCCCAGAAACGACTAATCATCAATGCATTTACGATCAGTTCATCGTATCGGGAGGCAATCCAGTGCCCACTATATGCGGAAATAACGCTGGAAATCATAGTATGTGGTAACCGGTTTGTCATTGGAAATATTCAGATTCTTCTTTCACTTAATTAAGATACCATTCTTTGTAAAACAGTATACGTTGATGCTGGCCTTGGACATACGAATCCGGTTACATTAACATTCGTTACAAGTGGCAGTTCTTTTCCTCGATCTTGGAAGGTACGGATTTCCCAAATTCGTTGCGATACTATATACAGAGCCGAGGAAGGATGCTTGCAATATTTCACCGGGATATCTGGTCAAATAAAATCGTTCAATTATGAACCAGTTAGCGGATTGCAATTGTCAAATCAGGATTATAGTATTTGTATTAGAATGGAAAGGAATTTCTGTGGTATTCAGTACATGGCATGCCCCGTTGAAGGTAATAAGTAAATTAAAAAATTAGGGTTTCAAAGTATGTATTTAACTATTGGTCATTGTTTTGCGATAAGGTCAAGCGATGATGTCTAACGGTGCTGCTCCAGCACAAATGATACGCAGCAGTGCGTTCACGCTAACAGGGAACACGCAAGGTGTACAGATTGCATCAATGACAGGGGCAGCCTGCCAAACCGATTGGTTAACTATTCCTTGTTCATTCAATACAGGTAGATTACCGACATCCATGATGATGTGCGTTGATCGATTTTGCGGGGGTACGTTCAACGCTGAGAATCAAAATTTGAACGCGTCTTCTGTTATCAGTAAGTTTGTTATAATTATTAACTAGGCCGCCATCAGCTTCGTGAATGACATACTGGAGCGAGGCGATTGATAGGGAAAAATCCCTATCAGTAATTTAATAGCAAAGCTTCGCTCCAATTATTTGATAGTGTTCTAATAATTGATCCAGGTACTTGACAACGAGGAACACTGTGCCCTGTATTTCTCAGTGATACATGATCCCATCTAACTTGTATTCATTTTTCAGGTACAGTGAAACCATTTAGATTAATTTTTCATACGGATAGCATCGAGGCACCGAACGATGTTGGAAACAGAGGATTCTGTTTGAACTATGTGCAACAACCTTGCACCACAAAGTTATGATGTATGAAAAGGTGAACAGAAGCACATAGTTAACACATTTGCAAATACATCCATACTTTATTAACTCACCAGCATCTGTGGATTTAACGATTCAGGACAACACATGAAATATGCTAGAATTAGGTAACACGAAATCACGAACACTAAGATAATCCTGTATGTTATTTAACACAGAGGTAGGTTTACTTTTAATAAGTAGAAATTCTGTTGGTCAGTCGTTTTTCGTCATTGTAATTTGTAAGGTAAAACTGAAAACGAATATAACAGTGTAAGTGGGACCCGTTCTGTAATCGGAATCTGGCTGGTAAATATTCAATTCACAGTTTCAAATCCTATCCGCTTTTTTTTCAATGAACGAAATCCCTTTCGTCTTAAGTTCGTTTAGTCTCGATACTTTGTTTCCAACGATGAGATGGTAAATTGCAGATGTTAGACCGAATCTAGCTTTCAGGCCGTTGAAAACGATTGTAGGCGAAGAAACGAATCTTTATCGCCATATAATAAATACATAGGCTAAAATTGAGCTTGCATTGTACGTACGTTTCTTTCTCTTCTTTTCAATTTCATCAATGAACCACTGTGCATTAACTTGCAACACTGATTTTATATGTACAACTAATACTTTAAAACTTTCCACAATTTACTTCAAATCCCTGTCGTACGTACAATTTACATAATTTTAATATTTAATATAACACCGACATTCAATATAATCAAATAGCCAATACGTAACTTGTTTCCGTTTATCAGAGTAAATTATACTCGTCGACGGTGCTATTATTATCGTCGTTATTAGTATAACTATTATCATCGTTACATTATTATTAAAAATTGTCCTCGCACGCTGCAATTCGCGTACCGTAATAAATGGTACAATTAAAATAAACAAACAAGTTATAAAAATACGAGTGAAAGTTTAAAAAGTATATATATATACATAATAGTATATAATATAGTGCGTCGTATAAAATTGGTCAGCCAGTTAGTGTGCGATAACGGTGCGAAATGTCTTATCATCGATGAAATTGTTACGAAAATTGTATCAACGGCGATCGATTAGAAAGAAAGGTGATTAGTTGTGATATTTTCTCTTCGATTTAATGATACTAATTCTACTTCGACATTACTGTATTGAATGAAAAAAACTAAACCAACGAATAATTGTATCGTGCTAAGAAGAGAATCTGATCAAATACTGGCGACACCATTGTATCAAGATACTCTAACGATACTTGATCCATAATTTTCTCTATCTAAAGTGATGGTTTAGTTTTCTTTATCAGGGCGTCGAATGATTCAGATGTGTTTCTAAATAATAGAACATCTCTCGCGATTAAGATTCTTTCGCGTTTCCCGCTTGGATGAAGTACGTCAGTAAATCGATAGGCAGAGGGAACACGATCGTAGAATTTTTCTCCGCAGAAATAGTGTTGAGAGTCTGAAAGCGATCAGTACATAAAGTATTTTTAATATAGTTTTATTTAAAAGAACGTACCTGTAGGTAACGAAGTTGTAACGCGGCAGGGGAATCGCCGATCACCTCCGAGGCTTCTCTCAATGCACGGCTAGCTTTCTGTTCACCCTCCGCTGCTATTACCTATTGTAAAACATTGATCGATGATTTTTTATATTACCTTTTCAAATTCGAGAACAAACCTTAGCGCGAGCCTCGCGAGCGGCTTCAGCCTCCGCAGCCATAGCTCTTTGTAATTGAACCGGTAGTCGCACGTCCTTGCTGTAAAAAATGAAATCGATCGACGTGGTAAAAGGATTCTATCGATCGCAATTGCACACTCACATTTCCACTCGCTCCACTTTTATTCCCCATGTGTCGGTCGCTTCGTCCAGGGAGACCTGACGTTCGATAAACAATTTCATTAAAACGCCCGCGTGTTTAGCTTTTTATAACGACCTTACCTGCATGTTACCGGAGATCGTTTCACGCTCGCTGAGTATCTCGTGAAGCGGTCTGGTACCCATGGTGTTTCGAAGCGTAGTCTGTGCCAATAACCTGGTGCTATGGTGAACGTTCTCCACGTTCGCGATCGAGATCGTCGCGTTGTTCACCCGATAGTAAACCACCGCGTCGACGGACACTGTTACGCTATCTTTCGTCAATACCTGATACGGTTGATCAAACTTGTCTATTTACTATTTTCGATTTTCTCTTAATACTCTTTCGTATCGATTTACCTCTTGCGGCGGCACGTCGTACGTTCGTGTTCGCAAATCGACGCGAGCATAATTGTCCACGCAAGGCAATATGAAAAAGATCCCTGGAATTCGATCGATGAAATTACCTTGCGATCACACGATCGAACGGGGATTATAAATGAATGTCTTACCTGGTCCTTTAGCGCCCCCGGAAAGAAGTCGTCCCAGTCGAAATATCACAGCCCTTTCGTATTCCTGCACCACCTAAGATCGTTTTATTAATCATTTCGTATTAATTACAGGTGGTGTATCCTTACCTTGAAGCAAATGAACAAGGAAAACGGCATCGTCAGGATCACGATCACCCAGGATAGCGCAATCAGAATACTTCCACAGGTGTTTTTATCTGGTATCGAGTTTTCGTTTGCTGAAACAGGCCGGAATAAATGATCGAACGACGGAGATTTAGTTTTTATTCCCGTCAAGATCGAGACGATTAGAGGAACGTTTAACCATTCATTCCGCAAATGGCTTATTCACGCGCGGATCGATACACAAGTCGCGGTCAGGAAAATACGACTATAGAAACGATAGATCAAAACTTAGCTCTTCGACGAAGTTTTTCAATTGCTCGGTAATTTTTCGTTTGCGTCCGCTTACCGTTCGTCATCTCGAACCAATTAACAAACTCGATACGTAAATCGAGCGTGATAACCACCCTCGGTGTGTCTCTGAACTGAGAATAAAGAGGAGAGAAGGGTGGTGGTCGCGATGGTCTGTTCCACTGGGTAGGAAAACGAGGCAGGGCAAGGTGTTATTCGCGTTACACGGTTCACTATGACGAGGTAGTCGCCTATCTCTTGTTTAACCACTCGCATGTCTCCGTTTTTCTTTCTCTACCTTCCACGTATACATTCTATCTGTGTACGTGACCACCCTTCTCCCTTTAATCGGACCGGCATGCGCGAAATGCGCACACCCCATCAGCTTTTCCTCCTTTCAACAGCTAGTTTCCCTTTTCGTTTCCTCCCGTTGCCCCTTTCGCCTTCCTCTCGATTCGACGATTATCGTGCTTCTTTTTTAAGATAAGAGGTGGTTTATTCATCTTTCATAAAACAGAATTCGCATAGCTTTTTCGCGAGTGATTTAATCATTGTTTTGTTCATCGCGATTCCGCCTTCCGTTTATATGTAATATTTCTATCGATTTGTTGTTAAAAATAACTCGTTAAACGTGTTTATAGTCGTCTATCAGAATTCAAGCGCAGGGTTAATGCTAAGAGAGTCAAGTTTACCTATGCCAGGGCTAGTATCGCTAATGATTGACCTCCTCTACTGAAACGATGGATCGTCGCCTTCGAAATTCCGCGATATACGTGCGTCGTAATTTGTATAATACGATTCGTAGTTAACGCGTGTGCATCGAGGGTTAGGGTGCGAATGATCGTAGAATAATTGACGACCTTTAACTTTCTTGTAAACGGGAAACCTTGCGGCAACGTGTACGGAAAGATTCGACCTTCTTTACACTCGATTAATATTTTATAACTCATAAGCTGCGCAACTAGGGGTAAAAGTAGTTCGATCTTGCCGAATTTGACACGTAAGCCGTAAGGTGGATGGATTTTACGATACCAGCGATGTTTTTGCTCACCACCGATTATGCGGTTCTGAATATCATCCGGCCGCGTGTTGATCTGTACCGTTGACCCGTTTCCATTGCTCATCGTGGCCATGGGAATGGACATGTCAATGGGGTTGACCCGTGATTCGAATCTCGCCACCTGAATTAAGAAAATGAAATGTAAAATGCGTTTAATAATAAGGTAAAACTTGACGCTTGATAATTTACCGATTTTAATAATTGCCGCGAGAAATCTTGCGAATTTGAATTTCATTCGACGGAATCTTCCCGCTTTCGGTGACAAATAATCACCCCCACGCGTGATGAAATACGCGTTAATTGCGTGTAAGCGTTCTTGTGATATAAAAGAAACTGGAAATTGATCAACGATATCAGGATACTCGAGATTCTTTGTATAAACTAAAGAAAGGTGTAGAGTTAGAGGTTCCGATCTGATTTATGGAAACGCGAAGAACGCGGGAAAATTGGAAAAATCAGAGAAACAGGTATTCACCTTGCGTAGATTGTTGAGTGCCGTTGAAAGAACTAACTAGACGAATGAGGGGAGCGTCGCGGCGTCGGGACGCTTTATACGGGGACGGCCGCCGCCCCAACTAGTGATATAGGAAAGTACATAGCCAGCCCGGCGTTCGTAAACGCGGTGGCTCATTTTCGCTATCCTTCACTTTGGTAATTGATAGAAATTTCCGGGCACGCGATCGAAACGGTTTTCTATCTTCAAATCGAAACTTTCGATAACAGATGCGAACTCGTCACTGTAAAATGAAATTATTTTCAACTCCACTGCGCATTGACAGACGTGCGAGTGAAGTTTATTCATTATCCGTTGCGTAACTATGACTAAAATATTCAGTTATTGTGCGTTCTATCTATAAACGAGATATTAAATTCGCCTAGTTCGTGACTCATTACTATATTTATAGATTCGCGCGATACAATTTTGGATAAACTAATTCTAATTTCTAAGGTGAAGGATTGGAATGAATAGAATTCGTTAATTAAGAGCATACGTTTATTGACATACTCTTGATACTTATAACAATATTACTGTATGATACATCGCGTTTTCCGATTCAATTGTAGAAACGAGCTTTTATTATAAATGACTATAAACCGTTTTTTCAACAGCGAAACTTTATATCCGAGGGAATATAATGTTAGTTTTTATCGACTTTCAAGTAAACTTTCTCGAGTATCAAGGTACACCGATAAAAAGTGAGATACAAAAATGCACCAATGTACCATTACTGTTCCGAGTTCCTGTTAGGTTAACACGGGAGGAGCGAAACGAATGCTTCGTTTATCTCCTACGAGTGCGTTAACTCTTCTGTATCCGGTTCGATATCTTCACGTGTATGTAAGTGCAATACGCTTACAGGGGGGGCACAGGTATACGCGCGTATCGACGCGACGGGAATTGATTAGGCAAATTATTATTACGATGCGTTCGAAAAATCTAACGCGCGACGATCGACGTACACGATTACTTCCGCTGCTAGTTTTGGTCTTTGCCGACGCGCGACTGGACAGTGCAAGCCGGGGAAGATATACGCGTGTATCGTGAGTAAGTTTTCAAAATACTGTCTCGCAACTTTTTACAGTCGTCTCGTTACCGATCACGATCGATACGGTCTGCTCTGCATACTCGAATACTCGGCGTTTAAAACGCAAGACCCGCTTCGGAATAAGTGGTGAAGATCTTTTCGATCGAGTTCACGTAGGCTGCTGTCCTCAAATCCAAGCCAAGATTGTATTTCATGGCTGTCTTCATGATAGCCTGCGAAAGTACGAATAAGATTATCAGACAAGTCGAATTGATATCTAATTAAATAAAATAAAACAGAGGAAATAACGTTACCCTAGCGGATCTTTCCATCGTGTAATCTAAACCAGAGTGGACGATATCTTTTTCAGATGCACCAGAGATACGCTTCTGGAAAGCTTCGGAGGGTGTAACGGGAATTCGACCACCGACTCTGCCAAACCTACGTTCTAACGATTCCTGAACGGATTCTACGAAGAACAGGATGCGATAAGTACACGGTGCGCTGGTAACGTAGTTTCTAATAGAACAGTTGTTAATAAATATAAATGTTTGCTACCTAATAAATGATAATTTGATTCTCTCTCGTATTTAAAGGTAAGACGACCATAAGACACGTGGTTCAGATTCTTCAACCATTCGAAGAAAGAGACTGTAACACCACCAGCGTTGATGTACAAATCCGGTATGACCATAATATTCTTTTCGATTAAAATTTTATCGGCAGCTGGAGTTGTTGGCCCATTGGCAGCTTCGGCGATGATTTTCGCCTAAGAAGAATGTTAATTTTACAAGGATTCATTACGGATGAATAGCCTAAGAGAAAGAACTTCATTTACCCGAATGCAACCAGCATTTTCTTTGGTAATGACTTTCTCAACAGCGGCTGGTATAAATATGTCGCATTCCTCGAACATCAGTTTATCACCATCGGGATACGGTTTGGCACCGGGGAAGCCGACGATGGTACCATTCTCTATGCGATAGTCTTCCAGTTGCTAAGGGCGAGGGAACAATCTAATTAAACTGTTCACATCACAAGATTGTTTTCTTGTGATTTTTTTAAACAAAGCTTGCCTTTGGGTCGATGCCCTCCGGGTTGTAGATAGCGCCGTCGTGTTCGATTACTCCTATACAAGCGGCACCGGCACGGTGAAGGTAACGCATCGAATGAAGACCGACGTTACCGAAACCTTGCACGATGAACGTCTTTCCGCCCCAACCGGGGGTGGTACCTGTTTGAAATTAACCAAAATTTCTTATCCAATTTCATAGCAAATTTATATTGAATTCTTACTAATTTAATCCCTTCCTCACCGATCATGCTCATGTAATTAGCTTCATTGATAAAGTTCTCCACTCCGTGAAAGACTCCGCGACCGGTCGCCGATATGCGTCCGTGGATTCCTCCTTGATTGATAGGCTTTCCAGTTACGCAGGCGTGAGCATTGATGTCCGTGTGCCCTATGGTCTTCGCGTATGTGTCAGCGATCCAAGACATCTCGCGTTCTCCGGTACCCATGTCGGGAGCAGGAACATCCAGGCCGGGCCCTTTGAAAATTTAAACCCGGATATTATCAATGTAGCAATCGGTGTCACGCGTTCGTCATTTTTACACGGTGCTCGTCACCGGAGAAAGGATTTGAAAATTTAATTAACCGCGTGATTGCTTCTATTGCGTGTTGCGTGATACTTTTAGAGCCAAGCGAAATTTGATCGACGGTAAACAGTTTCGATCGAAACAAATAGATTTCGCAACGCATCTTGGCCTTCCTCCGCTACTCGGATTCTTCTTTTTTCTCAATTCGACGAGGGTCCTCACCGATGAATCCTTTCTTCGCGAGTTCTAAGGTGAATCTTCTGGTGATCTTCTCGAGCTCGTGCTCGGAGTAGAGTTTCGGGTTAATCTTGATCCCCGCTTTCGCTCCGCCGAAAGGTACGTCCACGCAGGCACACTTGAAGGTCATTAGCGCGGACAAAGCCTTCACTTCGTCCCGGGATACGTCCATCGAGAAACGAATACCTAAAAGGAGAAATAGCATTGTTATGGCGTAATATCCGTGGGATGGTGTATTTCTGGCTCGACATAATCATGTTTGCGTACAAGGGCTAAATATATAAATTTTATTAGCCAACCCGTATCTAAGATTGAAAATCTCGAGAAGGGGACTATAGCATTTAGACTTTTCGTCACTTTTGTACAGGCCAAACGTTACGAGTTGTCAAAAAAAATTCTTGCGCCATTGTATTTAGTGGGTCAAAATTTCAATGGCTGAATTTTTTTTTTTTTTTTTACGGGGGGCCACTTCCGGTCTGACCGCAAACTCGCTCTAGTTCATTTTTTTCACGATAGATATACATCCGTCGATTGATCTAGAATCGATCTCGTCCGAGCCTGATATTAAAATATACGATAAGGACTGCGTCTCGTGAGTGTAACGGGGGATAGATATTGATCATGCTGGATTATTTCGCGATTGATACGGCCTTGCCTGATAGACAGGCGCGTAGAAATCGCAGTTATCGATCGCGAATCGAACTAATCCGCGATTGTACGAGAGCAATCGATCATCGATTTCGAGCGATAAATCTCGGAAGATGGTGTCTCGCGGAAGCGTGTATCTTAAAATAGCTGATGATTTCTTCAAACAAATTACATAACGAATTGTTGTTCGGGAAAACAGCATCACGCGTGGACGTTTCTAAACACGTGTTCCGGGGCACGCGTTTCTCAGTGTATATACGCGTACGGGTATACGTAAGAAATTACTATTTCGATCTCGAGTAAAAAAGCGAGGAGAAGTTGTGAATTAGAGGTCGAGGAGAATAAGCAACGTTATGCAAATAGCGCAGTTCCGAAATAGCTTCACCACGGCATCTCGTTTGTCCGCATCTTAGCGTCGTTACACACCTCGTGACCTCGTTAATGACTTTTTTTAAATAACAGGGCCGGCCTTGGCGGCCACCTAGGGCCCCCATAAGACGATTTTGCCTCTAACATAAGAATGCAAGAAAGGTAATGTTTACTTGAATATTAATCGATGTAAATGCAAATCTAAATTAGTTACAAGGTTTAATGTTAATTTTATAAATTTTATTTGAGCTACTTTTTTTATATCATATATGTGAAGGGGCCCTTTTTCGGAGCTCGCCTTGGACCCCAGAAATCTCAGGGCCGGCCCTGTTAAATAACATCTCGAAGCTATACCTAATCGATATACGTATCCGCCTAACGTCGCAGCAAATATTTTTAGCGCGTACGGTAAGTACGTGCTTGAAACGAATTTACGAGCCTTGTTCCCTAATCTGTTACTAATGAATGCATGTAAAAATCAAACGTTTTCCTCGACGAGAGCATTGACCTTTTCACCGTCATTCATGACATTGACACGATACACGTGATTGCCAAGCTCTTAATTTAAAACACGATTCAAGGTAGTTAGCTAATATTTGGCAGGGAAGAGGAAAACGACTAGACAGCTTGGCATCGCTAGCAATGAGCAATGCCGCTGGCTTCTTTTAACTACAACGAAAACGAATTTTCAATTCCTATTTTTAATTTCGCAAGACGAGCGACCAACATAACCCCTAAAAATCATACAGATAACAGAATTTAGATATGCAACGCTTAATCGGCGAGCATCGATGAATCTCGATTATATCGATACTTATCATAGTCGAGGGATCGCACGTGACTGCCAAAGTCAAGTTCGATAAAACTGGTACTCAACTGAGTTTTATCACAGACAAGGTCACCGTTTTTTTTTTTAATTTATTTACTGTGAATTTCGTGTGTTAAATGAGATCATTGTGTCGTTTAAAAAATTTTAATTGCCATCGTACGTCATAACCTAAGTGTATATAACAGCAGTGCTTAATCGACGTAATGCGATCCTCGTGAGTAATAAGTATGGCGCGTATTTAAACGTATACGATACAATAAAACTTAAACGTCTGCGCGTTATTTATCATTCTCGATCCATTAGCAAGGCGTGCGTCGAAAACAATTTTTTCGAATCACATTTCCCAGCAATTTAACGACTAAACGAGAAATTATTTTAAGATGATCGTTACGTATCCTAGTAGGGTTAGTCGCGTTTTTCAGCCGTCCTCCGGAATCGAGGTTAAAACCGCGTTATAACGGACGAAGCCACAAAATTGTCGCAAGTGTTACAGACTTGACAGTATGTACGCAGTACTATGAATACCTAAAAGTAACTGATCAGCTGTGGTAAATTCGAAGGTTAAATAGAAAGAGAACCGGTGAAAGAAACCTAAAACGTTTATTGTTGTTTCCTTACGCGATTCTCTACGATCAAGTCGATTTAGAATTCTTTCAAATCCGCTACGTGTCATTGTCGATGACGTAATTGGTGCGCCTACCAATATCGAATTTAAACAAGCACAGGTAATCGCGGCAATAAAAAATAATTAATTTACGCAAACGTGACGTCTGTATAATATATTGGTAAAATAAAATATAAATGCCTGATTATTATCATAATCAGAATTTAATAAGGAATAATTGAAATTCAAAACGTGGCTGATTTTACCTCCTTTGCAAGGTACTCTGTGGGTCGAATGCTGTGCGCGATAGCCAGTAATCATCTCGTAGTCGCCAGAATCGAGTCTCAGGGGAAACGTAGTCTCGAGGATATGATCACATGGTTCCATTAACATCAAGATACCCTTTACCTTCTTCTTTCTCTCTTCCACGCTCAACCTCGAACGTTTCCCAATATCCTCGACCAATTTATCCTCGACGATCTGACAAGCGCGATGAAAAAAGTATTCGACCATGTCGAAGAATTTTGGATTTGGATCGTCGGGGATATTCTTTAGTTTATCGGGTATCTGATGGTCGGCATAACCGCGTGTTTGAAACGCCGGTACGATGCGTATCAATGCGTTGTGCAGGATGTCATTGCACGGCACTTGCTTCAAAGCGATCGACGATCTAGTCAGTTTCTTCACGTGAAACATTTTCGTTGATCCTCTATCACCACTGTCGCAGCCGCTTTTATTTCGATTCAAAGATCCTTCAAATATCTGATTCACAACTTAAGTACTCGATTTTTATTCTTATCCTTCGATCCTTCCTTCGATCCTCTCGGAGGTACACTCTTTCGTACGACTGGCCGAGCAATTCTGTTACCTTACCACCGATCGAAACAACCTCACTTTTCCACCGCTCTCTCGCGACACAACTTCTCAACCTACACACCTCACCACCCTACTTGCCAACTACACATACTCCAAATCGCTTTTTACATACTTGCCAACTGGAAATTCTCCCCACGCATATACGATCGAGTTACGATTGCCAACGTTCACCATCGAATTTACCTACCGTGTAACTAGGACAAAAAAATTATACCCACTCTTTGGCTACGATCCCGATGTGTATCGTTGTTTCCTTTTCTTCACCTGTAAACAATCAATTTTTCAACGATATTTTAATTGTTCATTGTTAGATTTTAAGTACTCCTGACAAACATCGATTAGTGATAAATCGAGTGCGATCGTTATCGATTGAAACAACCGAAGCAGGAAGAATTTGAATATGAAAAATTAAACTTCGAAAATCGTGGATGGTTTTTTTATTTAAGTATGGATCGGTTTAAAATTTTATTAAAATTGTATAAAATTATAATCGGGATTATATTTTTGTTAGGTTTATAATCTGTTGGCAATTAAGCGCAACACCTATCTTAAGATATGTAATTTTGTTCATTCCTGGAATCTTATCGACGAAATTGTACGTTGTCAATGACGATTTTTTTTTTATTTGCTTTTTTATGCATATAAGTTAACATGAACGTATGTATTTAATCATGTATTTAAATAGTATATGTACTACTACCAGGTAACAGTTAAGTACATTAAATTTTTCATGATCAATTTTCATGTATATTCGAATGAGTGGTACATATAAAATTGAAATTATGTCAAAAGAGTCAAATTTCTCAGATTCTGGTAGTAGGAAGCAATGTGTACCTCCTGTAAAAGTTGCTTATAAAAATAATCACTACGAAAGTGAGGCAATGCCTCAGTGCTCACGACTCCAACAGGAGACAATAAATTGTAAGGATAATCGCAAGAATGTTGCTAAACAAACTTCCAAACAGGTACAGCTGAAAAGTTTCTCAATATGCCTATTTCTTCAGAGCAATTGAAATATGCCTATTTCTTCCAGAAAACCCAGAATGGTCGCAAAACAAAAAAGAAAAAGAAGAAGCAAAATGAAAAAGAAAATCCAAGTATAGTTTATTCTGAGGAGACCAAAGAAAATGAAACTGATTTTAAAAAATCGAAATCCTTGAAAGAAAAGGAGACATTTCCAAAATATATACCTACAAGTAAAATCGATGAGATTTTAATGCTCAAAAATTCAATGGATGTACAGTATGTAGAAGGATATCTGCGTATTAATTCTAGATATAATAAGCATGCTTATTTATCTTTATTCGACGATCAGTGCGACCTACTGATAATTGGTATAAGAGACCGAAATCGTGCTTTGGACGGAGACTTTGTTGTAGCTCGTATAAATCCTCCAGAAAAATGGCGTACGCATCAAGGACAGATACAGAAAACAGGCATTGTTATTTGTATAAGAGAAAAAATACATCCAAGGAAAGCGGTTGGATGCTTAAGACAAAGGGATTCGTCCATATTTTTTTATCCTAGAGATCAACGCGTTCCGTTGATTAAAATATATCGGGAATCGTTGGAACGATTCGCCGCAGATTTAAACAGTTGCGATGATACATTATATCTCGCTGTTTTAACTAACTGGGTGAAGCCTCAATTTGCGTTTGGGTATGCTAGAAGTTAATCAATTTATGAAATGATTTATAGAGATAGATTTACAGAGATCATTGTATTATATTCTTTACAGAAAAATTGAAAAAGTAGTCGGAAGTATAGGCGATGTAGAAGTTGAGTCTAATGCAATATTACTTGAACATGATTTGGATGTAACACCATACAGTCTTGATGCAATAGAAGGACTTCCTAACAGCGACTATTCATTGACAGAGGATGATTTAAAAGATAGAGAAGATTGGAGAGACGAATGCGTGTTTACCATAGATCCGGCCACAGCAGTTGATTTAGATGATGCGGTTTCTTGCAAAATTTTAGAAAATAAAAATTATGAAGTAATTTGTTGTTATTAAATCAAACTGTCCAGTTAGCTTGTATTATCTGCAGTTATTACATATATTGTCTTAATTACAGATCGGTGTACATATAGCGGACGTTACTCATTTCCTTGATTTTGCATCACCGTTGGATGTCCAAGTTTCAAAACGAGCAACAACCATTTACATGGCGGATAATGTATACCATATGTTACCAAAACAATTGTGCCAAGTATGTTCCCTACTACCAGGCCAAGATAAACTAGCTTTCTCCGTTATTTGGGAAATGACAGAAGATGCTAAAATTGTCAGTCATCGTTTCGCTAAAACTGTAATAAGGTCGTGTTGTCAAATGGCGTATCAACATGCACAGATATTCATTGAAAATCCAGAAAAAAATTGGCCTAAAGATTTCTTAAGTATAAGCGGAAATTTTACTCCTGACGATTTATCGAGAAAAGTAAACATTTTAAATAATTTAGCCGTTCAGATGCGTAATAAAAGGTTTGAAAATGGAGCGCTACGAATAGATCAACCTAAATTGCATGTTACAATTGATAGGACCACGCGTTTACCAGTATCGTACAGTATAGAAGAACAGCGAGACAGTAACAGGTATTTATATCATTTTCTAAAACCAAGATAATAACCAGAGACCATATATACATGTATTCGTATATGTTTTAGACTTATAGAAGAATTTATGTTGTTAGCTAACATGACGGTTGCCACTCATTTGTATGATACCATTCCCGAAACCGCTTTGCTACGTAATCATAGAGAACCATCGCAGCGTGTTCTCAATACGACCAAAGAAACTCTGCAAAGATTTGGAATTCATTTGGACGTTAAATCGTCCGCTTCCTTGCATGCCAGTATCAAACTTTACGAAGAAGAGATAGATTTTCAAAGTAACGAGTCTAAAACTATGACGAAGTACAGAATGATGGTCATCAACAGTCTTTGTTCCAAAGCTATGGCAGTATGATCATTTCCTTCATTCATTCCCAACATTCTTTGCTTTTCTTTTCTTTTTTTTTTTTTTTTTGGTTTTTAAAATTACTAATTTCTACAGCGTGCGACTTACAAGTGTTCCTCGACTGTTAACACAGAGGACGACTTGAAGCATTACGCTTTAAATGTGGCCCTTTACACGCATTTTACTTCTCCGATTAGACGGTATTCGGATTGTGTAGTACATCGTTTGCTATATTGGACTATGCAAAACGTAACATTGCCCGAAAAATGGTCGGAAAAATTGTGCAAAGAGTAAGTTGGTTGTTAGGAAGAAGGAAAGCAATTGATGTAAAATTATACCGTTAATTTTTTTATTTTTATCGCAATAGAATAGCAGCAATTTGTAACATCAAAAAGTATAATGCAAAAATGGCTCAAGAACGTAGCAGTGAATTGTACTTTACGTACTTAGTGGACTTGAACGGTCCTATGATCACTATAGGCATCGTGTTGAACGTAACAGAAAATTTTATAGACGTTATACTATGCCATGTTGGTATAAAGTTAAGGATTTCTCTTTCAGAGTTACGGAGTTCGGCGGATATTGAATATTCTTCAGAGTATTCAGTTCCGACGATACGTATTTCTTGGAAAGAAACGTCTGCTAGTCAGGTAATATTTAAAAAAAAAAAACATATATTATCAGTGTTGCAAATATAACAATTCGAATGACATTAATTTACCCGCTATTTCCAGGTAATAAATGTTTTTACTTTATTGTATTTGCAAGTTGAAAAGCATCCCGAGTTTTTTCAACTGATCGGTACCATTCTACCACCGAATGAGGAGGAAATAGAATCGTAACAATTTATGTTGTGAATCATATTTTTATTTATACGATATTTACATGAAATTCATATTTTGGACTATATACATTTCATGGATGTTATGTTGAATTTTAAGTGGCAGCTTAAAGAGAAGTGGATCATAATTAGATAGAAAAGAGACATTATTTTGTAATGATATTTTCGAAGATGGATCGTTCAAAACAGGTAAAAAAAAAAAATAAATGAAATTTCTTCTCAAGGACATTCTTTATTTCACATGTGTTGTAATGTACATCGCGGGAACGTCTTTACATGTTTATGATCGGGTATTTTCATTCGTTTCTAAACGATTGGTACGTATACAAATAAATAATACTTACTTGTATCTAACTTTGTACATAAAATTATATATACCACGCGTAAAGTATATATTCTAATTTTACGTGAAATAATTAGCCGAAATTGTTGAAATTTATCACATTAGAAGATTTAGAAATACGATCTCATTTTATTATGATCAGAGTATAAATTTTTCTCTTTAATTTCATACAAGTCTATGTTAAACGTTAATGTTTTACAGTAAAATATGTCTATGTTATTTCATTACTAACAAATTTTCGGTTAAAACGTAGTCTTACTTTCATAGTGGCTCTAAACGTGTCATGCAACTTTAATCAAATTTTGTACGTTATACTTTAAAAGATCAAATATATATTTTTTCATATATATAATCTATTCAAAAAATGTTTTATTCGATCAGTAATAAATGAAGTAACGTTAATCTTAGATCTTTTTGAAATCGTGTCTATTCGTTACCGCGCAAGATGCTGATCGTTACTTTCAAACAATGTATCTTCGTTCGAATAAAAAAATATCGGCATTCGGCAATGTATCAAACGCAAAAGCGATACATCGGATAACAGTCTTTTTAATTTATTCAGTATCGCTTACATCAATAAATTATAATAGAAAGTATTAAAGTATAATTAACATAAGTTAACGCTCGTTATGATTAAGCGCGATAGAGAATGTACATCAAAGAATTTTTTTTTTTTTGTTAATTTCACATCACCGTTGAGAATCAATTTATACCTAGAGCGTTAGCTCGATGCCTGCGGCTGTTGCTGCGATTGAGACTTATTTCGATGTTCGTAATTTACGAGTCTTTTCCCTACCAGATATTTATCGTTCTTTATGTGTTCGTAAAGTTTTTTGAATTGTCGAATTTGGAAATATATAACGATACACACCAAACTTACTAATAAAAGGAAAGGATACAAATGTCTAGCGATAAGAATTTGTGTCTGTAAATTTGTGATCAAAAGAGGAATTATACCGTAGGCTACAGCGTAAGGAACAGCCAGAGCAAGACCAAAGCAACATATTACCGGCGCTGCCAATTCCATAACGATGAATTTCAAATCTATTTCTCTAATACCGTCATTGTACGCCCGTTCAATTGCAAGACGAATCCTCCAATCTGGCCCCATCATGGTAATGGCGGTTGCTATTTTTGTGTATAAAACGCCCAAAGCCCAATCTTGCCAAATAAACAAAATAGGATTTTGTTCTAAGGGTACCCGCAATGGTACTACGACAACTAATTCAAGAAGAAGACCAAACAAAAGCGGTATTAGGCCAATAAGTAGGAAAAACGCTACCGACGCTTTAACACCTATGATTGCCCAATGCTTTACCCTATCCAGAACAGCTCTTCGACCGCGTGGTAACCAGAAAAATGCTAAGGCTAATCCTCTCGCTGCAGCCCAACATACGTACGTTCCACAGGCCACGGTGTACACCTCGTGTACTCGTCCAGATAGAGCTACCGTGGCTTCGCTGGTTTCTGAAAGATTACAACAAAGAAAAACAATATTATTTAAGGAAGGAAGAAGAGTACAAAGTAAGCTTTAATGTAGAAAATCCATAAACTTACCAGATCCGCTCAAAGTAGGTGGTAAGACCGGCGGAGACGGAGCCGGAGCTCCGACCATCCATAGTGCCATTACTCTGCGCCCGAGCCAAACAGGGAGAATCATTGCGATCAAACTAGCAACGACAAGGGAAATGCAAACGCAGAATAAAAGGCCTACTAGCCGGGCAGGGAACCAACGTGGCCTGACGTACGGTTGGAACCCTTTCGGCGCTTCTCGTTGCGATAACGCCAGATGTGCGGCACCTAAATCCGGATGCTGTGGTTCCTCGATTACCGCCGGGTCTGGATCCTCGGTTTGATCTCTCAGAAGATAAGACTGAAGATCTAATATCCAGGCCACCACTCGACACCAGCCTCTTATCAAAGCTTTCAACCATGTTCGCGTATGAGACTGTTCCAGCAATGCGGGAAGGATGACTTGCAGCAACAGCAATTCTAATGACAATTCGCTCACCTGATTTGAGAAGAGAATAATCGTTGAAACAAAAATTCATCTGTTAAGAAAATATGATTATCATAATTTGTTACCTGAGCCTCGCTTTGGACAGTCACTGTGTATGGTAAAAATCCTGGCCAAGCCCATCTTAAAAGTTTCACCGGTAGCCATAGCATTAATAAAATAGCTGTTCCAAATATAACCGCGGATGTCACGAGTCTTCTTACGTGTCTTAAAATTGGAAGATGTATCATTTCTTGGATAGGAGAGAAATCGGGATCGTTTAAGTTTCTCAGAAACCATAGCACTCCTGGCCGCAGCACTTCTCGTAAAAGCAGAATAAACGAAGCAACGTAATATATGTAAATCATTCCTACCAGCCAATGTATAAACATTGATGTACCAGGAGCCAGTCTGAAAGAAGATTCCCTGTCTCTAAGAGTGGCGTCGAACATTGCTAACGAACAAATGTCCAACCACCAGCCACAAACCAAAGGAAGTACACCTATCTCGACGACACTCAAAAGAGAAACTTTTACTATGACATAACATAAACCCAATATACGCTGAGAGCGTTGGAAACCTAAAAGAGCAGCTAATGTGTGAAGAACTACCAAACAGACTCCAATAACGCAATAACCACACAGTGTGGTAACTAATCCTTCGAAGTGCGATGCAGCCGCGTACTCTTGTAATCCCAGACCCGTTATAGCGAAACTGCCAATATGATAGGGGCAGAAAGCGAACACCTGAAAAATAAAGAAGAAATATACATTTTGCACTACAGCAATACGAAATTAACTACTTCATATTTTGTAGTAAAATATTGAAGTAAATACCATGATGAAGAGGGTATTCAGCGAAACAACCCAAAATACGTGTTCGAGAAAAAGAAGAGATCCGTCTAAGCCTAAAAGACGTTCCCAAGTTAATTCCTCAGCCGGTCTATCCCACTCCAGTGGAATCCAGTTTGCTTCTTCGGCTTCTCCTTGTGCCTGACCTTGCACTTGATCTCTCCATCCTTCACCGCCACCCGCATTCGCTTGTTCAGCTTCTGCAGGCAACTCTTCTCTAGGTGGTACTGGTTGTTCGACATCTTGGGCCTCCATATCTCTAGGAGGTTGCTCTGCTTGTTGTACGCCGCTTCTGGCGGCCATTTGCTGTTCACCATTGCCACCAATTCCTTCGGCATCGGCTATTCTTTGATTATCGGACACGTCGATTTCCTCCGCTCTGTGTCCTTCTACGTTTCTTAAATTATCATTGTTCGAATGATCTGGCAAGATCGGTGGCTCGTCAACGAACGGTGGGACATTGTTATTGTCTTGAATCTCCTGTTGTTGAAGAGCTCTTTGCTCTTGATGTTGTTGCGCAGGAACTTCTACGCGAGGCGGTGGGTTATCGACGGGCGGCAATTGTACGTTGTCCCTTTCGAGCCAGTCAGGACCTCCGGCATGTAAAATTTGTTCTCGTAACCATACTATACCGATAAACGCGAACAGAGTGCAGGTGACTACGAAACAACCGTGAAACACGTCTGAGGATATATTTTCTGTAGACAGTATGTCCATTGGTAATGACATTATCTGTAAACGGAAATACAATTGTTAAATATAGGATATCTTGACGCTCGATCTTCTTATAGAGGACAATTACCCTAACTAGATCCAGAGGTCCACTGAACAAAGCTCTGTAAGTTCTGCAAGCAGTCAATGGAACAACCCCGAGCCAAGCAATTGCAACTAAAGTATAATGCAACCAATATTTTACTGCTCTTACAATGCTAGAAATTAATCCTCCGATAACATCTTTCAGTGGCACACGCCGTGGCATGTCTGGGCTATAAATTGGCGTGAATGAAAACCGGTATCCGCAAAGTTCACAATATTCTTTGCGCGAATAACGCATCCATTGTATTAAACATTCTTGATGTATCCATTTAATACTGCCTGTGCATATACAAGGATGGAAAAGAGGTCTATCTGCAAGGCCTTCAGAGCGACAGACCCTGCAGATATCTGCACCTAACATGTCCTCCGTCATGTTTGGCTTCTTTTGAAATAACTGATTAAAGTAACAATCTCACTGAAACAAGAACAATAAGACAATGTATTATAATATTTGAAATATATGTTTACAAAGTAACCGAACTTAACGAAATCGTGAAGTTGGTTAAATGGTACGTTATTACATGGAAATTTGAATGATTTAATTAAGATCAACAAAAGTTTGATGAAATTTTAACGATCCGACTGTGAATTAAATATAAGAAATGACGAAAGCCACGTTGAATTTTAATGATTATTGTCGAGAAAGAGAAAAAAAATAAGGGACTATGTTGAAAACATCGTCGAATAACGGATATTGAATACATCCAGCATCTTCTTCACAAATTGTAAAATCACTCCATGAACTACGTGTATTATTTGGAGCATTATGGTATCAACTTACGCATGCCTTGACAAAGACGCATGAAACTTAAAGTTATTGTGCAAAATTCTGAAAATGTCTACTGCTACTTCTAGCTCTTTCCTTTTTGCAGTGACTACAGGGTCACCAAGACTGGACATGCCTTCGTTATTGAGGGGTCAAGATTTTTAGGGTCCCAAGGAACCCCGAGAGAAAGTTAAGTATGCCTGTAGAGAGCACAGCCGGTATGACAGCCGTGCCTGTTTTATCACACTCCACAGGGGCATGTATAGATCGATAGTGACAACTAAAAAGATACCATTTTGATTACCTTGATTTTATTTATTTTAAATGAGTCAGAATGAACACAAGATCGAAGAAAAAGGTAACAAATTAATTTAAACAAGATATCATTTGATATCTTGATATTTATTAGAAGATATCCCCCGGTAAAGGTAATAAAAATAATACATTTCAATAGATTTAACAATAATTTAATTAACAAACAATTGTAAAATTAAAAATAGTAATTAAATAAATTTTAATAGAATAATCAAACGCAATTTTGCAATATACCCACGCGAAAATTAAAGAAATAAACAATTTAAATAGATATAACAATAATTTGATTAATAAATAATTGTAAAATTAAAAATAGTTATTAAATAAATTTTAATAGAATAATCAAACAAAATTTTGCAATATACCCACGAGAAAATGTAAAGAAATAAACAATTTAAATAGATATAACAATAATTTGATTAATAAACAATTGAAAAATATAAAATAATAATTAAACAAATATTAACAAATATCCGATAGAAATAGTTAAATGTAACTGGCCGCGGGACCGGTGAAGCGGAACGTCATGCTTGATTGGGCGCGCCGGTACCCCATTATCAACAGCTCGACGAAGCGCGACCTAGAGAGGGGGCAAATCTAGTCAGTCTTATCGCGACCGCTGAAGGATACGGATCGATCTGTCAAACATATACCGGTACGGGTTGATACCATAGATATTCGTGCATGGATTTAATAGTGTGTTACTACATGTGTTACCGAGTGTGCCTATGGTGTTTCCTATGGTGTTTCCCATGTGTTTTGGAATATTTATACGGATATATTAGTGCGTTTTATGGTGTGGTCACCCATGCGATTTGACATTTTTATACAAGTGCATTAGCGTGTTGTATGGTGTGGTACCCCATGTACCTGCATGTGTTTTACTGTGTTTTATGGTGTGGTTTCCTATGTGCTTCGGCATATTTTTACGGATTTATTTGTGGGTTTTATGGAGTAGTACCCTATGTGTTTTGGTATATTTATACGGATTTATTAGTGGGTTTTATAGAGTAGTACCCTATCTGTTTTGGCATACTTATACGGATTTATTAGTGGATTTTATGGAGTGGTACCCTATGTTCTTTACTATAATTTTGCAAATATTTTATGGTGTTCTATGGTTTTGATCTTCATGTGTTTTGAAATGTAGTTGCATGTGTTTTACCCTGTTTTATGGTGTAGTTATTCCCATATAGCTTTGCATGCATATTTTTGAATTGAAAAATTGAGAGAAAACATATATCGTTCAAGAATCGTGATTTTTATGCTTTCAGATGAGTGCTTTGTACAGTGGAGGTACCGTTACTTTGACGAGCCAACAGACGAGCTATGGGTTAATCTAACAATAAGATGCGGGGCGAGTTCAGTGGTGCAAGTCAACGATCGGTGAGTCGCATGCTTTAAAGTTCCTCCGGTTCCCACCATGTCGTAGGACGAATGGTCCGTAGCGACACGGGAATTGGTTGTAATTTTTATTTTTTGAGCGAGCATAGTGACCCACGAATATCACTGTATCATTTTATACAATGATAATCGTGCAAATTGCTTTTTTGTGTATTTTATGCCTTAGCTCAGGATAGGGTTTTCTTGTACATATTTACATATATAGATTTCGAGTTTAAAAATGTAGAGAAGTCGGATGACCCTCCGACTTCACAATACACTTTCTTTTTTATATGTACAAGAATTTATTTCGCGATGAGCGGATTTCAATATCAAAGTAATAAGCATGAATACTATTAATTATTATAACTACTTACTTTGATAACGAAATCGCTCTTGAAATTGAAACGTTTTTCCGATTTTACTCGTGAAATTGGCATCAGTTTAGTACATGGGCTGGCCCCCAGGGGGGTTGCTTTTGCTCTTCAAGCATTGTATAAAGTTCCCCTTTGGAACTTGAAATTCATTCTGTCACGTTCACGGTTCTCGACCATAAACACTCATCATTCACACTTCAGCCTCACGAACTCTATCACATAATCATTTATCCACCCTCATAGCCTTGTGTAGTGAAATATTTCCCCGTTAGGATTTTCAAGTTTAAGTAGTGTTGCGAAAAATTTTCAACGCGAGAATAAATATTACCCCGTTAGGATTTTCATGTTTAAGTAGTGTTGCGAAAAATTTTAAACGAGAGAGTAAATATTACCCCGTTAGAATTTTCAAGTTTAAGTAGCGTTGCGAAAAATTTTCAACGCGAGGGTAAATATTACCCTGTTAGAATTTTCAAGTTTAAGTAGTGTTGCGAAAAATTTCCGGCGCGAGAGTAAATATGACTATACACTGACTAGTATTCGGTGGGAATCCTTTTGGTTATTATTTGATAAAATTAGTTACAAGGATTCCGCGGCATAAGACCGTGAACACCACCTCATGGGAGATAAAACCATGCATTACTAGGCCTTGCAGGCACAGCCATAGAGTACGGAACATTTAAGTATGTTGCATCCCATACGCTAAGCTGTCTTAAAGTCCTTTTGCCTATACTATGGGCGTCCACCACTCGAACACGTTGGATGCAACGTGTTCGATGGGTGGGTAGCGCTCTTAGCGAAGGGGTGCACCCTGCCTGGGCCTAGAGCCTTAAACAGGCGGGGTGGGTGGTATGTAGCGTCGGGCGTAAGTCCAGGGGGCCTAAGAACCTCCGTTGCCAGCTGATATTAGCAGTGGACGAATGTTTGAGTCATATTTGCTCAATTTTGCTTTTCAGTATTTGCTCTTTAAGCATAATTTAAAGCTCCCCTTTAGTCATGTTGCTAGATCAGGATTTTCTATTTTAATTAGTGTTGCGAAAAATTTCCAGCGCGAGAGTAACTATGACAATGCACTTACTAGTATTCGGTGGGAATCCTTTTGGTTTTGAAACTCAATGTTTTATTTAGTTAATCAAATTAGTTACAAGGATTCCGCGGCATAAGACCGTGAACACCATCTCTGGGAGATATACCCATGCATTACTAGGCCTTTCAAGGCGCAGTTTAGAATGTGGCGCACATCCATATGTTCCATTTGATAAACTGCAGTCCTTTTGCCTATACTAGGGGCGTCCGTCAATCTGACACGTTGGATGCAACGTGTTGGACGGGCGGGTAGCGCTCTTAGCGAAGGGGTGCACCCTGTTCTAGGCGGGGTGGGTGGTATGTAGCGTCGGGCGTAAGTCCAGGGGGCCCGAAAACCTCCGTTGCCAGCTGATATTAGAAGTGCACCGTTTTTGCGTCATAGTTGCTCTATTTTGCATTTCAGTATTTGCTCTTCAAGCATTGTATAAAGCTCTTCGTTCGTACTTCAAATTCATTCTGTCACGTTCACGGTTCTCGACCATAAACACTCATCATTCACACTTCAGCCTCATGAACTCTATCACATAATCATTTATCCACCTGCATACCCTTGTGTAGTGAAATATTACCCCGTTAAGATTTTCAAGTTTAAGTAGTGTTGCGAAAAATTTTCAACGCGAGAATAAATATTACCCCGTTAGGATTTTCATGTTTAAGTAGTGTTGCGAAAAATTTTAAACGAGAGAGTACATATTACCCCGTTAGAATTTTCAAGTTTAAGTAGTGTTGCGAAAAATTTTTAACGCGAGGGTAAATATTACCCTGTTAGAATTTTCAAGTTTAAGTAGTGTTGCGAAAAATTTCCGGCGCGAAAGTAAATATGACTATACACTGACTAGTATTCGGTGGGAATCCCTTTGGTTTTTATTTGATAAAATTAGTTACAAGGATTCCGCGGCATAAGACCGTGAACACCACCTCATGGGAGATAAAACCATGCATTACTAGGCCTTTTCAGGCACAGCCATAGAGTACGGAACATTTAAGTATGTTGCATCCCATACGCTAAGCTGTCTTAAAGTCCTTTTGCCTATACTATGGGCGTCCACCACTCGAACACGTTGGATGCAACGTGTTCGATGGGTGGGTAGCGCTCTTAGCGAAGGGGTGCACCTTGCCTGGGCCTAGAGCCTTAAACAGGCGGGGTGGGTGGTATGTAGCGTCGGGCGTAAGTCCAGGGGGCCTAAGAACCTCCGTTGCCAGCTGATATTAGCAGTGGACGAATGTTTGAGTCATATTTGCTTAATTTTGCTTTTCAATATTTGCTCTTCAAGCATAATTTAAAGCTCCCCTTTAGTCATGTTGCTAGATCAGGATTTTCTATTTTAATTAGTGTTGCGAAAAATTTCCAGCGCGAGAGTAACAATGACGATGCACTTACTAATATTCGGTGGGAATCCTTTTGGTTTTGAAACTCAATGTTTTATTTAGTTAATCAAATTAGTTACAAGGATTCCGCGGCATAAGATCGTGAACACCATCTCATGGGAGATAAAACCATGCATTACTAGGCCTTTCAAGGCGCAGTTTAGAATGTGGCGCACATCCATATGTTCCATTTGATAAACTGCAGTCCTTTTGCCTATACTAGGGGCGTCCGTCAATCTGACACGTTGGATGCAACGTGTTGGACGGGCGGGTAGCGCTCTTAGCGAAGGGGTGCATCCTTTCCTAGGCGGGGTGGGTGGTATGTAGCGTCGGGCGTAAGTCCAGGGGGCCCGAAAACCTCCGTTGCCAGCTGATATTAGAAGTGCACCGTTTTTGCGTCATAGTTGCTCTATTTTGCTTTTCCGTATTTGCTCTTCAAGCATTGTAGAAAGCTCTTCGTTCATACTTCAAATTCATTCTGTCACGTTCACGGTTCTCGACCCTAAACACCCATCATTCACACTCATCATTCATCAGTATAGTGAAATATTAGCTCGTTAGATGTTTATGTACTAGTCATGTTATTAGATCAGGATTTTCTATTTT